ATTCAAGAGACAACACAAGCGACACCGGTCACTCTTAACCTAAGAGGACGACTGATCAAAGCAGGGGTAATTGCCCAAAAAGTTTTAAACTTACTGTACAATAATCAATTCGGTCCTAAACATTTTCAACATTTTAACGATTTGTCGATTTGGTCATAAAATCTTTTTTTTCTGTCAATTTGATCCTAAACTTTTTGAAAATTTACCAATTTAGTCATAAATCTATTATTTAGATATTTGGTCGGAAGGACTACATTAGTAAATCGTCGAAATGTTTATGACTAAATTGATAAATTATCTAAAAATTAAAAATTAAATTAATACAATCGAAAGGTTCAAAATTAAATTGGCATCATTAAAATATTTGAAATCGAATTCACCCTCGCACGATAAGCTTTCGTGCGTCTCCAAATGTCTGAATTTAAGCACTTGACGTGATCGACCGGTGACTTGCCCTTGTTGTTTTTTTATCATTGGAGGGAGGGAAGTTCTGATGATGCGGTGGGGTCCGCATCTCGGAAAATTCGGAGCGTGAATGGTTGGAAATGTTTTTTTTGAAGTTTCACGTCTTCAAAATCCGCGCGCTGGTCAAACACGTGGCTCTCTTTCTTAGTCCCGCGCAGCCAGAGATCTTCGGACGTTTGGGGGGGAAAAGTCAAATTGTCGAAAGCCAATCGACGCAACGCGCCTACGAAAACCCCGCCCTTCGTGGATCGAGACGTCTCAACTTCAATCTCTACACGATCGATTCCCTTTTTGATTCCGTAACGACCCGATACGATCGGCGCCGGGACATTTCGATCATGTTAACAAACCGTAATTCGTGCGACGATCAGTCCTGTCCAATCAATGGACGGGTTTGGGTACCGACAGACCCAGGATCAAAGTCGCTTTGGGCAAGTCACTTCAATCGAACAAGTTGGCCAATAATAGTATTTGGGGCCCCTCCCGGACGGTGTGCTTCGTCTTTGTCTCGCGCAGCAGGAAGGCCAAGTGGTGGAGATAACGATAGCGGGTGTAAAGAAAGGAACGAGTCGTTGTCCGAATAGCCAAGAAAGACTGAAAGCGGGATGATGCAGAGGCTTGCCAATTTCTCCTAATACTCCAAGATCGGTATCGTTCATACATATTTGGTAGGAGGAGATCGTTTTTGAAAGGATAACTAATCCCCCCGTTCAATCCGTGCTTACTTTGATGCTATCGGTCGATTCCCGTCCAGATTCAATTCCCGAAGTAGTTTTCATCTGGGTCATTAATCGAGGATCCTGTAAAGTCCGTGTCGATTCATCGACACGTCGGAGTATGTAAAGCTCACCGTCACGAAACATGCCGATATAGACTTTCGGTGAAAGGGACGCACATTTGTCGGGAGTACAGGCTAACGCCGGAGTAGGTCTTGGACCCTTTTCTGTCTCATCATGTTGATGCTCGAATGATAGGTTCTCCACCTAAATCCGGAAAATTCATAACGCGAGACTCGTAAGAGTTAGATACATCGGTCGGTCGCTCTCATCCACCTATGTAATCGATGAAAAAGGAGAGCACGTAAGTCCCATTAGCGCTTTAATTACACTCGTTACAGTTCAACAAATCTTTTTTTACCCTTTTATTCTCAATTCTCCTTTCTCGTTCTATTATCTCGAAATTAATTTCACCCGAGCAATGACTCAACGACACGCCAAGAATCCTGTAAAGTCCGTGTCGATTCATCGACACGTCGGAGTATGTAAAGCTCACCGTCACGAAACATGCCGATATAGACTTTCGATGAAAGAGACGCACATTTGTCGGGAGTACAGGCTAACGCGGGAGTAGGTCTTGGACCCTTTTCTGTCTCATCATGTTGATGCTCGAATGATAGGTTCTCCACCTAGATCCGGAAAATTCATAACGCGAGACTCGTAAGAGTTAGATACATCGGTCGCTCTCATCCACCTATGTAATCGATGAAAAAGGAGAGCACGTAAGTCCCATTAGCGCTTTCATTACACTCGTTACGGTTCAACAAATCTTTTTTTACCCTTTTATTCTCAATTCTCCTTTCTCGTTCTATTATCTCGAAATTAATTTCACCCGAGCAATGACTCAATGACACGTCAAGAATCTTGTAAAGTCTGTGTCGATTCATCGACACGTCGGAGTATGTAAAGCTCACCGTCACGAAACATGCCGATATAGACTTTCGATGAAAGGGACGCACATTTGTCGGGAGTACAGGCTAACGCCGGAGTAGGTCTTGGACCCTTTTCTGTCTCATCATGTTGATGCTCGAATGATAGGTTCTCCACCTAAATCCGGAAAATTCATAACGCGAGACTCGTAAGAGTTAGATACATCGGTCGGTCGCTCTCATCCACCTATGTAATCGATGAAAAAGGAGAGCACGTAAGTCCCATTAGCGCTTTAATTACACTCGTTACAGTTCAACAAATCTTTTTTTACCCTTTTATTCTCAATTCTCCTTTCTCGTTCTATTATCTCGAAATTAATTTCACCCGAGCAATGACTCAACGACACGCCAAGAATCCTGTAAAGTCCGTGTCGATTCATCGACACGTCGGAGTATGTAAAGCTCACCGTCACGAAACATGCCGATATAGACTTTCGATGAAAGAGACGCACATTTGTCGGGAGTACAGGCTAACGCGGGAGTAGGTCTTGGACCCTTTTCTGTCTCATCATGTTGATGCTCGAATGATAGGTTCTCCACCTAGATCCGGAAAATTCATAACGCGAGACTCGTAAGAGTTAGATACATCGGTCGCTCTCATCCACCTATGTAATCGATGAAAAAGGAGAGCACGTAAGTCCCATTAGCGCTTTCATTACACTCGTTACGGTTCAACAAATCTTTTTTTACCCTTTTATTCTCAATTCTCCTTTCTCGTTCTATTATCTCGAAATTAATTTCACCCGAGCAATGACTCAACGACACGTCAAGAATCTTGTAAAGTCTGTGTCGATTCATCGACACGTCGGAGTATGTAAAGCTCACCGTCACGAAACATGCCGATATAGACTTTCGATGAAAGGGACGCACATTTGTCGGGAGTACAGGCTAACGCCGGAGTAGGTCTTGGACCCTTTTCTGTCTCATCATGTTGATGCTCGAATGATAGGTTCTCCACCTAAATCCGGAAAATTCATAACGCGAGACTCGTAAGAGTTAGATACATCGGTCGGTCGCTCTCATCCACCTATGTAATCGATGAAAAAGGAGAGCACGTAAGTCCCATTAGCGCTTTAATTACACTCGTTACAGTTCAACAAATCTTTTTTTACCCTTTTATTCTCAATTCTCCTTTCTCGTTCTATTATCTCGAAATTAATTTCACCCGAGCAATGACTCAACGACACGCCAAGAATCCTGTAAAGTCCGTGTCGATTCATCGACACGTCGGAGTATGTAAAGCTCACCGTCACGAAACATGCCGATATAGACTTTCGATGAAAGAGACGCACATTTGTCGGGAGTACAGGCTAACGCGGGAGTAGGTCTTGGACCCTTTTCTGTCTCATCATGTTGATGCTCGAATGATAGGTTCTCCACCTAGATCCGGAAAATTCATAACGCGAGACTCGTAAGAGTTAGATACATCGGTCGCTCTCATCCACCTATGTAATCGATGAAAAAGGAGAGCACGTAAGTCCCATTAGCGCTTTCATTACACTCGTTACGGTTCAACAAATCTTTTTTTACCCTTTTATTCTCAATTCTCCTTTCTCGTTCTATTATCTCGAAATTAATTTCACCCGAGCAATGACTCAACGACACGCCAAGAATCTTGTAAAGTCTGTGTCGATTCATCGACACGTCGGAGTATGTAAAGCTCACCGTCACGAAACATGCCGATATAGACTTTCGATGAAAGGGACGCACATTTGTCGGGAGTACAGGCTAACGCCGGAGTAGGTCTTGGACCCTTTTCTGTCTCATCATGTTGATGCTCGAATGATAGGTTCTCCACCTAGATCCGGAAAATTCATAACGCGAGACTCGTAAGAGTTAGATACATCGGTCGCTCTCATCCACCTATGTAATCGATGAAAAAGGAGAGCACGTAAGTCCCATTAGCGCTTTAATTACACTCGTTACGGTTCAACAAATCTTTTTTTACCCTTTTATTCTCAATTCTCCTTTCTCGTTCTATTATCTCGAAATTAATTTCACCCGAGCAATGACTCAACGACACGCCAAGAATCCTGTAAAGTCCGTGTCGATTCATCGACACGTCGGAGTATGTAAAGCTCACCGTCACGAAACATGCCGATATAGACTTTCGATGAAAGAGACGCACATTTGTCGGGAGTACAGGCTAACGCGGGAGTAGGTCTTGGACCCTTTTCTGTCTCATCATGTTGATGCTCGAATGATAGGTTCTCCACCTAGATCCGGAAAATTCATAACGCGAGACTCGTAAGAGTTAGATACATCGGTCGCTCTCATCCACCTATGTAATCGATGAAAAAGGAGAGCACGTAAGTCCCATTAGCGCTTTAATTACACTCGTTACAGTTCAACAAATCTTTTTTTCCACTTTTATTCTCAATTCTCCTTTCTCGTTCTATTATCTCGAAATTAATTTCACCCGAGCAATGACTCAACGACACGCCAAGAATCCACGGGGACTTGTACACTCTATTCCGATCATCGGACTTTGTAAGTCTAACGTGGAATCCACACACCATGCTATTCGAGATGAAATTTTTTTATTATGCAGAGCACCAACTAGATAAATAAATTTTTTTGTCCATTGCAAAAAGTGTGAGTCACCTTCACATTTTTTTGGGAAACCTTTTTTTCTGTAATTTTTCTTTTCCCAATTCAGCGACAGCCCCAGGAGGTTGGTGAGTCGTGGTGGGCTGCTCGTGCCATGCCTCTTGCTCTGTCTCTGTCTCTGTCTCTCTCTCTGTAGGAGGCAAGGAGAAAAATATGGGAAGAAAAACAGAGGACAGCCTAAACGTTCGGGATATGCGATGAAAAAGACAAGACAACCTCTCTCTCTCTCTCTCTCTCTCTCTGATCCTTTGACGATTCGTATTTTCTCTGTATTAAATTATAGGATAATGGGAATCGATAACGAGTAGCAACTGACCAACTTCGCCATATATACACACTACATCGTAGACTTCACTTCTGTTCTGTTCTGATCCAGAAGGACACCTTCCAAGTTCCAACTACACGGCCCAGACAGGAGACATGGCTGCCCGGCTCTTCTCAAGCCTCCTCTCTCGCTCCTCCTCATCCTCATCATCTTCTGCTGCTCGTGCTTTGCTTTCTCGAGGTATTGCTGGATCGTCGAACCACCCTTTTTCTTGCCTTTTTTTGGGTGGGTGGTGACCGGTTCGTTCTTTTCTGATCTTGATTGCGCTGTTTCAAGTGATCTCTCTGTCTCTTTTCTGGTACGAGCTCCGGGACTGTGATCTTTTGGGCTTTGAGGTGCGTAAAATCGACTGCTTGCTTGGTTTCTGAGAGGATAAAAAAGGGAAACACAGGGAAAGATGAAAACTTTACGAAATGAATCGTTATCACGCTCCTGCTTGTCCGATGGGATAGAACCCCTGTACATAATGTGTAGCTCGTAGAACAGGCGATTACCTCTATTTCCCTGGCTGTGACTGGCTTATAAATCTTAGCATCTGTGAAAGTAATCTCTTTATCTCTTCAAGGTTCAAGTTACCTCGTTCCTAGCTTCCATCGATTCCTCCGTTGACTCCCGATGAGTAGTGCAATGTCTGCTTTTTTTAAGGAGGATCAAGAATGTCATGTACATCTTGAACAAACTCGCTCTCTTTGGGAAAATTTGTTTTTTTTATTTCAGTATTTTTAGCATGCCAGAGTCATGCTTCTCTCGGCCACTTCTACATGAAAATCTTTTTCGGCTTTGAGATTGCAACGTAGAGTTTTGATTAACACACATCAAATTCTCCAATGAGCCCGGCCTGCTTTTGGGTCCATGCTTCTGGGTTGAGTTGTGCATTCAATTCATTCCAGGATCTGATGTATCTGGGGTAACGCACCTTTTCTTGAGTTATTCTTCTCTTCAATCTTTTCCTGATGCATTATGCAATTGTCGCATCTTACAGCTAGAAAACCGCTATTGGGAAGAGATATCAAGACCTACAGCACAGCAGTGGCTATCGAGGAACCGCTAAATCCAGGCGTCACTGTGAACTATTCTCAGCTTTTCATTAATGGGCAGTTTGTGGACTCAGCTTCAGGTGGGCTTGCTCATCCTCACTCATCATTAGTGATGCTATACGTCAAACCCTGCGGTTTATTATACTCCGATCAAAATTTCACTCACAAAAATAGAAAATATCCACTCAAATCAATTGCATACTTTTGATTGCTTTGTGCAGGAAAAACTTTTCCAACATTTGACCCCAGGACTGGAGAAGTGATTGCTCATGTTGCTGAAGGCGAGGCCGAAGATATAAACCGAGCTGTAGCTGCTGCTCGCAAGGCATTCGACGAGGGACCATGGCCTAGAATGACTGCTTATGTAAGTATTTCTAATATATTGTGCTGAATTTCTTTTGAAAGACGTCCTTCTGATGAAGAACCAAATTGATGCGCCATTCTGTTTCATTTTCCAGGAAAGGGCCAAGATAATGTTGCGGTTTGCTGATTTGCTTGAAAAGCATAATGATGAGCTTGCAGCACTTGAGACTTGGGATAATGGGAAGCCATATGAACAGGCTGCCAAAATTGAGCTTCCAATGATCGTCCGTGTCATTCGATATTATGCTGGTATTGTTTCTACATCTCATGCGTTTCTAGCAATCATTACCTTATTCATGATAATACCACTAACGTTCTACTTGAAAATTCCTCAGGTTGGGCCGATAAGATTCACGGTCTCACAGTTCCAGCTGATGGGCAGTATCATCTCCAAACCTTGCATGAGCCAATTGGAGTTGCAGGTCAGATAATTCCATGGAATTTTCCTCTTCTGATGTATGCTTGGAAAGTGGGGCCTGCATTAGCCTGTGGCAACACCATTGTACTGAAGACAGCAGAGCAGACACCACTGTCTGCTTTGTATGCAACCAAGCTCTTGCATGAGGTTGTCAATCTTGATAATCTGTAGCTACTTCTACTATTCTTCTTGGAAAAGAAAAATTCTCAAATTTATTTGATTGGTGTGAGTTTGCTTTTTCCTGTCTAAAAGTTCAAACTAACAATTTATAATTTGGCAGGCTGGTGTCCCCCCTGGCGTCGTGAATGTGATTTCTGGTTTCGGTCCAACTGCAGGCGCGGCTCTTGCCAGTCATATGGATGTTGATAAGGTTTATACCCTGATTGTGTTTTGCATTTCATCCGAATTTTCATCTGATGAAGAGACATGGGCATCAAGTCTTAACCAGTGCAGTATGCAGCTTGATATTTTGAATTGCACATACAGTCGGATTATTCTTGGTAGTCAGAAACTCATCAAATTTGGGAAATTAAGGACTCGAGCTAACAACTAGAGCCAAGATGACTAGAGATGTAACCAAGACAACTGGAGGCTTTTAAAGCAAAAATAAATAGTTTTTTAAGAACTTTTAGGTCATAGCATTCTCAAGTTTTTCCTTTTGTCATGGGTTTCCCAAAATTCTACCATGTTTATATTCCCTCTAATGCTTCTTGTTACGCTCCTCTTCCAGCTTGCTTTCACAGGATCAACCAACACGGGGAAGATCGTACTTGAGTTGGCGGCGAGAAGCAACCTTAAGCCAGTGACTTTGGAGCTTGGAGGGAAATCCCCTTTTATCGTATGCGGGGATGCTGATGTCGACAAGGCTGTTGAGCTAGCCCATTTTGCACTTTTCTTCAATCAGGTAAATCTAGGAATCAGTGTGCTCATAAGTTTTTGTTTCCACGAAGGAAATTAGCTCAAATGTGTATTGCACCATCTACAGGGTCAATGCTGCTGTGCTGGATCTCGTACATATGTACATGAAAGCGTGTATGATGAATTTGTAGAAAAGGCAAAGGCACGTGCAACAATCCGTAGTGTGGGTGATCCGTTCAAAAGTGGCATTGAACAAGGTCCTCAGGTAAGTTAGCTGATTCTTCTGTATGTGGAAACGTGAATGGATAAGATTGATATCTTGCAAGTGGAACCAAATTCCCACTCTTATGACTCTTTTTGTCAAATGTACTCGACAAATTTGATAATTTTGTTGGTTTCACATAGATTTAGTGGATGGGAATATGAAATGCAACCGAAATAAATCCTTGATAAAATGGAGCTAGTAGTTTAGCTAGTACCTGCATGTAGATCTATTGGAAGCTGTGGAGTTCTGAGCTTACGTTATCTTTACCCCACATCAGATTGACTCGGAGCAGTTTGAGAAGATTTTGAGGTACATAAGAGCTGGAGTAGAAAGTGGTGCAACTCTTGAAACAGGAGGAGAAAGATTTGGAACCAAGGGACACTACATTCAGCCAACTGTATTCTCAAATGTTGAGGTATTCAGAATTTTGTCATCTAGAAATATATTGACATCACCTAAGAATCCGAGGATCATGCCACCTTGTACCATGGGAGGGAATGCTCAAGATAAATATATTTAGCTTCAAGCACTGCCTTTCACTAACCTAGAAATAAGACGCTAACAGACATGGCCTATGTCATGACAGGACGACATGTTGATTGCTAAGGACGAGATTTTTGGTCCCGTGCAGTCCATTTTGAAATTCAAGTGAGTATAAGACCATCTCACCAAGCTCATTACTAGAGCGGCTTTCCTGTTAGTATGAATGGTATGATCGTCTGTTGGCATGGTAACATCATTGTCATGTTTAATTGCAGGGACCTTAAGGAGGTGATTCAAAGGGCAAACAACACGCGCTATGGGCTGGCAGCTGGAGTCTTCACCCAGAACATGGATACGGCGAATACCTTGACCCGCGCCTTGCGAGTTGGAACAGTTTGGGTTAACTGTTTTGATATCTTTGATGCGGCTATCCCATTTGGTGGGTACAAAATGAGCGGCCAGGGAAGGGAAAAGGGCATTTACTCTCTGAGCAATTACTTGCAGGTCAAAGCTGTGGTCACTCCTTTGAAGAATCCGGCATGGCTTTAAGCTGTAGCTTGCTTTCGTCTTTGGAATTTTCAACCCTTAATATTTTTGAGTAATAAGAGAAGGATCAGATGCTGGAGTTCAATTTATTATCGTGGCAGTTGTGATGGGAGTTTTGAGGTGATGACGACGATGATGGTAGGAGGCTGGTGAAATTGATAGTCTGTAACGAACAGTGCCGCGAAGAATTCTCTTTGGAGTGTTCACGATCAAATTGTGCAACTATACATTATTACCTGCATAGTGATTACGCCCTCCACTCTCTCCTTTACCATATATCTAGTCTAGTTCTTCCAAGCTTCGCTGTTAAACAAGTGCCTTAATCTATCTTATTCTTATTTTCACAAGCATGGTGTTACAATTCCATTATCAACGGATAGAAGTCCTGAATTGTCTCGATCTCATCCTGGGTAAATGACCTTGCACTTTGTTGATTTAGCATTTGGCGTGGCAGGATTATGTTTGTTCTCATCTAGAATTCGGTATCTCATGAGTGTCTTTGCTTGCGAAACTGACGGGGCCATTCTGTAGAATCATTTTAGGAAAGCAAGCTAATTATATGTTGAGACTTGAGAGTGGCCAAAACAAGACACAAAGTGAGCTTACATAATATTTTCGCCTATTTTTTTTTCCTGCTGCTAGTCTTTACACATGGAAGGCTCTTTTTTTGTGACAGCTTATCAGCCTAAAGGCTCATTTTGATGAATTTATATCGTTGCTGACAGTGCTCCCTCTGATCACTGATCCTCTGTTAAAGATTCAATCTCAAATGCTTTGAAGCTATGCATGCCATATGACATATTGCCTCAGGGAACAGTGCTCTAGGAAATGAAGATCTACAATGAACATAAAAATCTTTTGTTTACCCAGACAAACAGGGCTTCACAGGACAGCGTCAATATGTATAGACATATAATGGAATTATAGGCCAAAAACAAATAGGTAGAGTGTCATCGACCCTTATTTCTAGGGGTATAAATAAACAAAAAAAAATCAGAAAAGGAAAAAAATCTAGAAGAAGTATTTACTTGCATTCTGGTGGCATCACCTTAAACCTGGAAGTGTCTTTACAATAGGAATAGAACATGAGCTTGCTCCTGGCCCAATGCATGGCCATGATCTGCTGCTGAGACAGGGCGGCAAAATCCTGACCCTCCACTGGGTCTGAGCTTGATGATGGGCTCTTGCTGGAACACGAGCTCAGTGGCTGTTGTCTCGGATCTGAGACACAACCCACCATTTCCATCTCTGCTAATGAGACCACGAATGGTGCATACTTGTAGTTCACAGGGTATTTGCCTCCATGAGTTGCCCACTGTGACCCATCCCATATGGTTGCATACACAGACATCGGCTTTGATGGGTATGTGGAAGAGAAGGCACCACTTGAGGGGAATTCTCTCACTGGTATGTTATCCACAAAAAACCTGCAAGAAAACAATTGAATTATCTTTCAGGATCAGACAGAACTCGGTAAGCAAGGCCCAGAACTGGACTGGAAAGATTTATATAATTGAAGAAAAAGAATCGGGCAGTTCTCAGGACTTATGTAAGGTACACGGTTTGTTAAATCCATTTTTTTTGTGCAAGTTACCTTTATCACTATCAAGTTCAAACTTTCCTGAAAACTAACCATCTATACTAATGGTAATGGTGATGGCTTGTGGAAACAAAGGTTACACAGCTTGTGTACCAATAAGAAAGTCGTGAAAGCGTCTAAGAGGAAGTTCCGTGCTGAAAATTGTAAAGAGTTTTTCTTTGGTAGGCATATTCTACCACTTTCTGGGTGTCGAAAACCAATTTCGATGTCAAAAATCAGTGTAGAGTTGATGTGCACTATAGGCGCTATTGGCTCAATCTAATCACGAAATACTTCAGCAGAAGATTCAATCACAAGTCTTACACAATATGATGGCTGTTCCATATGATGCTGTAGTAATGGTGCTCTTGGGTGGGATCGAACCAGAAATAGAACTTCTCTTCTCTCCCAGTGCTTACACTGCCATTGGAGTATATGTTTGTTTGGAGGACCCAGTCGTTTCTCTTATCATGACCGAGCAACTCGATGTCTATCTCGTCGTGGCTGTGCGGGAATGTATCTGCATTAGACAACTGATTTTGGAACGTTCTGTCAAGACCCTTTTCGGTTTCTCCCAGTAATTTAGGAATAGACACGCCATTAACAGGAGTCAAACATGGGCACAGAGAACTTACATAGAAGGCCAACACAACACCAGATGAAAGACCAGCAGGAAGCTTGATTGCGGCACTGAAGAATCCGTAATGGTATTTGCTTCGCGAAACCAAACCGGACCCTGCATACAAAGTAATACCCATTAAGACAAGCAACATCAAAAGTTGCTTGATCGTGTGAAGCATAACATGGGGCCATGAGCTCATTGGCGGTGAACTCGGGCAGGAAACTCGGCTGCTTTTTTACCTGAGGACTTGTCGAGAGCAAGGTTGGCGTATGAACCATTATTTAGCAGCTGAATGTTTTGAGCTCCAAAGAACTTAGAGAGCCCTCGATCGATTGAGACAAGAGGGAATAAATCTGTCAAGCGAGGGACGTCCGGAGTCGTGTAAGGCCTGTTGTGTGAAGAGACAGACATGGCCATGCAAAGGAGGAAGAGGAGAGAGAGGAGTGTATTTTCTTGGAGGAGGGCCATATCTCACCAGACAGATGAATTAAGAGCTCCCGAGTGTCGTTATTAAGCCTTTATATCGTTAATGAAATCAAGGATTTGGACCTGCTTAGTTGTAAATAGCTGGCTGACATTTTTCACAGAATCAACCTTTTTGGCGGCTGATTTGGGGTTCTTAAGGACATCTAACCGAAAGGCACGTGAGCTGATTTGGGGGTGTTTGGATGGAACATTTTGCTAGTTTTTGTTGGCTCTATTTATGATTTAAGGACCAAAACGTTGCCATCGGTTGGATTTGCTAGCCAATGTTGCTGGTTGGTCTGAGATCTCACACGAGGCAATGCCGCTTTTATGTCTTTCTGCATTTCTTTTTGTTTCCATTGTTGTGTGCGAGAAAGTATTTTATGATCTATCGTATAAACAGTGAATCAGAGTACTCGTACAATATGCATTCCAACCGATTTTACGTTTGGATGGCGAAAATCTCACCTATAACTAGCGGTCTATATCACCTGCAATTGTTACGTGATAAATCGCTACGAAAGACACGTTTTAATGCTACACACCGAGCTAGTGTTTTATTTTTGCCGGTTAAGGGACAATAGTAAAACTAAAATGCATCTCAGTTGATAACACGTCGATCTTTCTGTCTTTTGGCTAAAAATATTAAATCGACGTCGTGAATATATAAATCGCATTAGATGAGAAAGAATGGTCCGCTCATTGATTTTTAGCATAGCACGTGCCATGTGTAACGTAAGAATTGGTCGCAAAAGAGACTTGAGAAAAACTGCGAGCTGAATAAATATGACCGAACTATTTGTTTAGTAAAGAGTAGAAAGTGAAAATTCTAAAACGGACGAGTAAGCAAACCCCACGATATTAGATAGAAAATGAGATTTACATTGATGAGGTAAAACACAATATCGAAGACTCTATTTCTATGGTCCATTTCAAGTGTGGTTAATCAGACTTCAAACAAACCCAATGCATAAAACGTCACTCTCGAACCAATGGGAGGATCTTGACGAAACTTTTTTACTCCAAAGGCAATTTGAAGAGGAACTAGAGCAGAAAACATGCAAGAGGTCACTATTAGTCTCTCACCAAATTGCCTTCTCTAACTTGTACACTAATGCGTGTGCCAGAAGGCTATAGCTGGCTGGGGTACATGGGGTGGATTCGACACTCAACAAACAGACACAGAGGGCAATCAATGACTGGAGCACTTGCATGAATGCCTGCACGAATTGAGAGTTATGGCACCAGTTGCAATTAGCTCAGATTCCAAATTCATAGAATTTGGAGTTGGGGACAACCATGAATCCGGGCCCAGCCAACGCGGGCACCATCATTCCTGGTTCTGAAACATTGTATTGTCCAATCGGGTGCTGTTGGAGTACAAGAGAGTGGGTGTGGTTACTCCTCAATATGCACTTTTTTATTGGGTTTGCGCTGTCTTCTTTTCCTCAACCAGTGTTTGCACACCGAGACAAAAACGGTTCCAATGCAGATCACCGAAAAGTGTTGCAAAATAGCAAAGAAAAAAGGGCAGCAAAGAAATTTGGTGGAGTCTAGTCGTTGTAGGAATTAGCAACATAAAGGCTATTGTGAATCCCAGTATATTTTCAAAGTACTTAGGACCGACTGATCTAACGCTAGGTGCGTAGTACAGGTTAGGACGGATTTAGGAGTGAATAATGGAATGAAAGTTGACTTCGGATTTAGTGTCCGATTCATGCTGCTAAGAATAATTTGCTTAGTATGGGGACGGCAATAAGATAAAGAACGTTGCTCACGCTATTCCATGGACAAGCGCAATCTTAAAGCAAAAGTTCAAGGATCGAAAAGCTCGGAGGAGAAACGGCTCCCGGTCCAGGAAGTCCGATTCTATCCATCCACATTCAGTCCGATCAAGCATTTCCAAGAGCATTCACGGGTTACTGAATGTAGACAAATATTAGAAAAATGCAGCTTGTTAACTTGAATTGCACGCATTTGTTTTTATTGAAGAAGGAACAAAATTTCATCAAATGGTGAACATACATCCAATTAAGAAAAAAGGAAAAAACGAAAGCTCTTCCAACCCCCAAAGAGATCAAACAGCCAGGAAGGGGTTACACTCTATTGGGTTATAATCATCAACAGTCCAAATAAAAGAAACAGAAACGTCAACCTCGCCAGCACCTGGATTTGCCCCTCATATTACAGGGAATTACAGGGACACGCAGAGACACAAGGTCCGAAGGACTAATGATGATAGCCACATCTACCACAGCTCAAAGGAGAAACAAGCATATATACAGTTCAATCAGGATCTTGACCTCAGGTGGAGACCCGTCTCTACCTTCTTGATTTCAAATATGAGCATCCTCCACATCTTGAGCACAAACATTTCTGCTTCCTCGTCCAATATGGACTTGAGTGTCTCCAGCATTTCAGTTGCCTTCACATGCTCTCGAGTACTAGTTACGATGTAATCAACCAGAGATGTTTCCTCTTCTCCCAAGAACTCCATGATTTTCTTCGAGATCCATGGCCTCATTCTCTCATGCAGCTCATGCTGTGAAAATATCATACCATAATCAATGAGTAAGAGATCATATCAGTATTAATCATTCAAGGGAAATGGGACAATGACTTTAGTATTCTAAATTTATCATAATCAACGGAATGTACAAATTGTCGCGGTGAATGAATGCGTGCCATAGTATTGAGTGCCGGATTAACACGAGGCAACAAGTAAGAAAAAAAAAGCATGTAGCATATATCGAGGCCATTAACATTTTAGTTTAGATAATTTGTGAAATTTTTCATAGGAGGCATACAAGAGAATTGCATCAAAAGCCATTGCGACTACATGGGAAATAGAATGACTTACCTGGTCATACAAGGCCCAGTTTATCTCATATGAGAATAAATCCTCCTTGGTCCTAGGGATCATATCAATTAATTGCTTGGCATCCAAAAGTTTCTTGTTATCTGTAGTCTTCAATTTCTCTTGTCCATGTTCCCGCTCTCTCACCCGTTCAAGAATCTTATCTCTGTTCTCATCTTTAACTCGATTACCATCAAGACTGCTCCGGTCTTTCTCCCGTTGGCTTGACCTATCATGAGATCGTCTACTTCTCTCCCTTTCAGATTCAGGCTTCTCTTCTTTCATATTGGCAGTAGAAAGCTGCTTCGCGAATTCTGCCGCAGCAGCTAAATTTGGTTGTGATTGCCCAGGAGGAGTTTGAATGGCCTGCATTTCCTCAGTTGAGTAATCAATTGGAACCAAGGGCCTCATCTTTTTCTCCTTGTTTCTTTCATCATCATCTTCCTCATAGAAAACAGAAGGGACAGCTGTTCTTTTTCCGGAACCAACTAGGCCAAAGCCCAATTTTTTGGCAGGAGCATTATTGTTCTGCTGCACGTCTGATGCAGCCATGGTGATGACTGAGTTATCCCCTACACCAATTCTTGATATCCCATCACCTGTCGAGCAATAGTCATAACAATGCCAAACATCATATAAATGAGGTCAAGGAAACAAAAGAACCAAGCATGAACGCCAACTAATTTCGATAGTATAAGGATACCTGCAGGATATTCATGACCAGCAATGCCCCCAACACCATGTTGAACGATGTCACCCGTTGATTCCTCAGCTTGTGCACTTTTCTCATGTCTACTCGCTATGTCACCATTCAAAAGTTTCAGCGCTTCTCTCTGTTGCTGCAGCTGCTGCTTCTTTTCCTCCTCAGCCCTCTTCTTGGCCTCAGCGATTTCCTCCTCTTCCTTCCTTCTGTCAGCCAAGTCATCCTCCTTCTCTCGTAGCCTCTTCTTCCTCTTCTCCTCCAAGACACTCCTATGCCACCTTTTTCGGGAATCCTCCTCTTCGTCTTCTTCATCATAAATAATCTCCTTCTTCCGTTTGCGCTCCCTTTCTTTATCTCTCTCCCTGTCATATTGACGCTGTTTCTCTTTCTCTCTTTCTCGGTATTCCCAATCCTTAAGACGCTCCTCATACTCACGCTCGGCCTCCTCAATCTTCCTTCTTTGTTCTCTCTCCTTGCGAATCCGCTCTCGCTCTGCCTCTCTTTCATATCTCTCGACTTCCCTTTCCTTTTCGCGTTTCACATCTCGTTCTCTGTCATGCTCCCTACTTCTCCTGTCATATCTTCTGTTTCGGTCAGGAGAGTTAATTTCAGTCTTATCATGCTCACTAGTCGCCTTGTTATCACTGTTCGTCTCTTCATCATTTCTGTCTTCTGCATCTGCAAAAGTATAACCTTGTCAAAGAATTTTCTTTGAAATATCTACAAACTCGACATCGGTTGTGGCTCTTTACCACTGCTGATGTGCCTGTTTGGTGCATAAGTTCCATTATTTAAAATTTAATCCGCCAAAAGGAAACGTTAATTTAAAAACTCAAAAAGATTTAAGATGACCGTAAATGATGTTAGATGTTAATGTTTATGTATTCTTTGAGATTTGGATGCGCACTATCAAATAAGAGACAGATCTCTGAAGAAAGGCAAGTGTCACGTAACCACTCCACACACAGTAATTTAATCATCAGTCACTATCATCATATAACTGACCATTTTTGGAAGGATCTGCATCAGAATCCGACTTGGTAGGTGCTTCTGAGCCAGTAATTGCTAAAACGTCTGCCGGCACATGCGGAGGAGGAGGAGGAAGAGGTCTGGTCTTCAACCTTTCTTCTAACATGCTTGTAAGCTTCTGTGAAGCCTCTTTGTCTGCTTCCCTGTCCTCATCTGTCACTATCCCAAAAGGGGCATTATCATGGCTTTCTTTCTTACCAGAATTGGAATCATTGTTCTTCGAATCATCTTTCTTCGAGTCATCTCCACTGGGCTCCAGAGATTCATTCTTCTCAGCACTAGATGCACCATCGCCTTCTTTCTCGGCAACAGTAGCAGCTTCACTTTCATTGAGTTTCTTTGCATTTTCCCTTTTTTTTTCCACATATCGCTCTAAATATTCTCTGGTTGCTTGGTTGACATTTAACTGCCAATCAAACGACAAAAAATGCAGAAGCCATAAGAAACTGCGGTTAAATGATTTAAAATTGGCCGCTAGGGGAAAAAAATCATATATTTAACTCCTGTCAAAGGCTGGTAAAATTGTCGCACAAGTAGGTGACAGAATGCATTTACTCCTAAAATAAACAAAGCAGTGCTAGCACTCATGCTCCAAAATCTTAATAGAAATAACCAACAAGCCAATCCTTGACTATCAACCAAGGTTAGACATCATTTAAAAGAAAAAAAAACCACTGCAGTGAACTTCCAAACAAAATTTCCCCAAAATCAAAGACGTCATGAAAAGCAAACTAACAAGATCGATTTGGGAGAGCTTATCAAAATCATTTACTTGGTTCCAACTGAAATTTTACTTTGCCACCAAAAAGGAAAAAACAACTGTAAATTCTGAATATCTACAAAAAATTCTAGACGAGTCTAACCATCAACATACTTATATTTTACCTTTTCCTTTATCTTTTAGGGTTGGAAATGAGACTTATATTGAATATTGAGCACCTCTAATCCTCAAAAGCAGTTAAATAATATAATTTAAAATCACCCAAACTTCTTCCACAATTTTTTGAAGTTTGAAACATTTTTTATTTTTGGTAAGAAATAAAAAAAAGGGCCTTTGGGTTGGGCAAAACACCTATAAACAAACAAAAGTTCACCTCAAACACAAGGGGTAAAAAACTAACAAAAAACAACTCTCCTCCAGCAGCCTACTACAACAATTTCAGTCGCCTGCTGAAGTAGAAAAAGTTAATCAACAATATAATGTCCTACAGTCACTGAGTAATTGGTTGTCGCATGTGACCGCAAGTCTTCCCACTAGCAAAAACATCAGTCATCTTAATAAACCAAAAGGGATACTCTAAATAGCATCATCAAGCAACTAGATGATGGCAAAGCACCTCCGATCTTCAGGTCACCAACATTACAATCACTAAAAACAGAGACGTGGCAATGATGGCCAAAATCAGTATAGTATCAACAAATGCTCAAGACATACCACCAGCTCCTGCCCATCTATGTTAAGTTTACTGAGAAGACGTAATGCACGTAGAACACCTTCAGCAGATTCAAATTCACAAAAGCCAAAGCCTTTAGGAGCTCCATTTGAAGGATCTTGAGCACGTTTCCAACTCTTGACTGGCCCACATAACTTCACAGAATGCAACTGAATTAGATTCCATACTTGAAGTCTAGAAATATTTCTTTAGAAACGCAGACACAAAACATCAGTATTATAATCTCAATGCCGGTCAATGTATCCAAATGCATTATCAACTTACTTGAAGAAGTGAAAGCATATAATCATTTTCAACAGAAGGTGCAATCTTGCCAACATAAACAGTTGTCTGAGGCTTTTCAGCGGGTGTAATGGGAACAAGAGCTGGCCGAACGATCGGAGGAATGATTGGACGAACTCCAGGAACCACAGGGAGAGGGGGACGGGAGATAGCTGGGAGCACACCTATAGGCCCAGGTGGCCGTGGAGCAAATGCAGGCCGAATCATACCCGGATATGGAGAATAACTAGGAATTCCTGAAAACATAAAGAAGCATCTATGCAAAATATATCAGAGCAACCTTACTAATACAGCAACAGTAGTTATACACCTGTACTAAGTGCCCCGAAAGAGAAATTTGGAGATCAATTAAATGCTGTTACCAAACATCAAAAGCAAACAGTGATGGCAGCATAGGCATGGAAACTATCACCAGCTGAACAGATAACCTGAAGGAAACATCGAGCAAACAATGTCGACTATATAAATCACTGAATTAGAAAGAGGCTCACCTTATGTGTCAATTCGATATTGTCGCCTTCTCAAACAATTCCAAGCACCGATTGCAGATGTTTGAGAGGATATAACATGAGACTTAACATAGTCATCTTTTAACAAAGGAAGACTCTTCTTATCAGATGAGTTGAACAATAGGGAGCAATTAACTCACAATCTCATGTGGATATGCTAGGGAGTTAAGATACCTGAATTACTCAAAACATTTCATCTTTCTTGTTCATCTAATTGTTAGCACTCCAGTCGCAGCAAAAAATAGAACAGAGAACCGGAGGGAAGTAGAGAGAAAGTTTGATTGGAAGAGATGCAATACCTCATGATACAAGGCCAGCGAGCACAGAGTTGCTAACATGGACCGCGGCTGGTAATTCCTAAACCCATGATAGGGGAAGTACGCTTATGACTACCAGAAAGTAGCCTACTAAATTAAGATGCATAACGAGACATTTCAGCTTTAATGAAAGAACTTCGCAATTTATCCAAGTAATTTTGTCTCTCCAAATGTAAAGTCAGGAGGATTTGAGTGTTAACAATAAATCGATCGAACAAAATTCATTCTAAAAGGCAAGCAAAAGACCAAGCAAATTGTCCATACCAAAAAGGGAGTTGTAGATTGTAGAAGGTAGGGTCGCTAAGCAATATGAAGCCTTCCAACGTTTCTCACCATGTAATCAATCGAGAGGACGCTGTAGGAAAAAAACCCTGTCATCGGTACCCCTTGTCTGACAACAACACCGAATGGTCTAAAATCTCTCCCTGTCGTCCCTAATGCTACCTAAAGGACCAAATTCATTCAGCAAATTTAAGAGCACTCTAAACTAGTTGCGACTCAACCGGTTTCTTTCCACTTCCGCGGATTTATGGAATGAATCCAACGTAACCAAATATCAAAACGACCCTCTGTTTTTCATGTTTCTACAATCTTCATGGACCATACTATCCGTAAGAATTGCTCACCGGTTCAACTCGCCAATACATTCAGGAAACGCCCATAGCTATCTCAAATCTCACTACACATCCATAACTCGATCATCTCCGGCAACTAACACGGAAAAAGAAAAACACGAAAGATGCAGCGTAAAAAGCAAACCTGCACTGAGCAACCGCCCGGCCTCATTCATAGCCCTAAACACACACACAGACACAGAGAGGGAGGGAGAGAGAGAGAGAGAGAGAGAGAGAGAGAGAGAGGGGTGATAGACCCACCAGGTGGAGGCTGAGGAGCGCCGGGCATGGCCGCGTATCCATTAGGCATGGGCATGTACTGTCTCAACGCCGGGTTCGGAGGCTGGCCGGGCGCCGGAACTTGGTACGCCATCATAGGCGGAGGCACCGCCGGCATGACCCCGCCCATGACCATTCCGGGCGCGGAGCTAATGCCGGGGGGCGGCAAGCCAGGGCTGTGGAAACCGACGGCGCCGGGCAGGGGAGAGAACTGCGGCGGCCCCGCCGGCCGGAAGGAAGGAGCCACGGGAGGGACGGAGATTGGAGGCGCGAAGGAGGGGAGAGGAGCAGGAGCCGGAGCCGGAGCCGGAGCCGGCGTCGGCGTCGACAGCCGCGGCGGCGGCGGCGGGGGCGGGGGCGGGGGCGGGGGCGCGGGGGCGGGGATATCGGATTCGGAGGGATGGGGATTGGGGTGTAGGGTTTGGGGAGAAGACGGAGGCTCCGCCATGGGAGGGGAGAAGCGGGGGAGCTCTGCGATGCCCCTGGCACGTAGAGGAAGGCGATTTTGACGAGGTTCGATTTCGATGGGCTGATGATCTTCTCTTATTTTAGGTTTACTGTGAGCCCTAAAAGAAGAGAAGGCGAGGTGAGGTTATTGTCGCCACGTGCTCTCAAGCCTGCCTGATTTTATATATTTATATAGAACATTGTCTGTGCAACGATAGAGAGGAGGAAAGCGAGGGAAGCAAGAAAAGCATGAACGTGAACCGATTGTATTAACTTTATTCCGTTTAGCTGTACTTTTAAGGACGATGACTCGTGAATAACCCAAACCTTTTTCTGGCATAAAAGAAAGGATTCGATAAATGGATCATCCTAAAATGGTATGATTAACAATATATTCAAGTTCAATTAATTCATATTGGAAAAGAAAAACTCCATGAAATTGAGGCTCCGTTTGTTTCACGAAAAATTTGACATTTCTGAACAATATTTTTCAGAAAGCCATTCTTCAAGAAAATGATTATATTTTCCGATATTTGGCTGAAATCTAAAAATGAACTAAGAATATTTTTCTGTCGTATGATATGAAAAATTACCCAAAAAATCAAAATTTTAATTAATTTTTTTTTTCTGTCTTTTTCTTTTTTCTTCTTGCCGGTCGCTGGCCACAAGCGAGGGACAAATTCACCCAAGGATGGTGAGGCTTGAGCTCGCCAGATCCCAACAAGTCAAGCCTCGTCAAAGGTCGGCGAGGTCGAGTTCACAACCTACTTCCAAACGAATTTGGTGAGTCACCATGTCAAGTCTAGAGCGACGCCCTAGATTGATCTTAATCTCCCTCCTCCAGTCGATGACAATAAAGAGGAGGACGAGAATGACCTTTGGCAAGCTCGACCTTGTCGGAGTTGGCAAGGTGGAGCATCACCCAAGGCAAGCGAGGCTTGGCTAGCCGGAATTTAGCGAGCTTGAGCCTCACCCATCGCGGGCAAGCTCGTCTCTTGCCTATGGTCATCACCGTGGCTGGCAACTGGCTGAGTAAGAATGAAACAGAAAAGAAAATAAAAGAAAAGAAAAAATAATTAAAAATTTGAATTTTTAAAAAATATATATTTTTATGAAAACAAACGTGACATTAACTAAGCACCGGAGCTCAAGTGCCAAGGACTTGTCTACGGCCTTTGTGTACCGAGGCTTGAGTGGCAAGGGTCGGAGCTTGAGTGTTAGAGACCCGAGCACTACCTTTATTGACCCAGGCTCGAGTGCCGTGGAATTGGGCACAAGCACCAAGACTTCGGGCTCAGCCTTAATGGACTCGAACGTGGGTGTCGAGGGCCTGGGCCCGACCTCAATGGTCCCAAGCCCAAGCGCCAAAGACCTGATTTGAATGTCAATGACCCGGGAACCAGCGTTAAGGTTCCCGTTTCCAAGCATATAGTTTCGGATCCAAATGTCGATATCTAAAATATTTTGAAAAATATTTTCCAAATTTTGAAAGAGAAAATCATTTTCTTAAATTCGACCATAGGTTTCTTGTTGACTCATTTTTCTAAGTGAACCAAATACAAAAAAATAAGGAAAATATTTCTCGCAAAATAAACGTAGCCTGAATTAGAACTCACAGGTGGCCGAACGGAGATGGTGCCAAAAACCATGATGACCCGACCCGACTTGACATATTTCGTAAGTAAGCGTAATGCTAGATGTGAGCAACTTATTGCCAAATCTACCTTCGTCATATATGGAGAGGCTTGTTATTTGCTACGAGAAAAGGTCAAGTTAAACTTCATTCTCCCTTCCTGCAATTAACGCCACAGAGAATCATAATCTATGAATGACCAGATGCACTGTCCTCCATATCAGTGTAAACCTGGATATCTTATTCTGGTGACCGGTGACTCTGACCTTTCAACTGGTGGCACCGCGAGACTCGATGTTCCCTTCCATCACCAAGGCGAAAAAGGCAACGTCAGATCACCTCCACTTCCGTGATGATTGCGGCTTCCCGGTGCTTTCAAATACAGGTCAAAAGAGCACCATTGCGCGACATGGTTTCCTTCACTAACAAGGATGGAAAGGATGCTCAACCTACCATGAACCTTCCATCACCAATTTCCTCCTCCCAGATCATCCACACGACCATGCCAGATTTCCTTGCGAGTAAACAAAGCAGGCTCTCCCTATTGGTCGTATTTGGCCTCGATATGGCGAAATTACCCATCTGACTATTAGAAGTCAGACGAATTTCACATAAATACAACATGTGACAGAAAGAAGCAATGCTAACGGGCCCCTTGAGACCACTACTCTATAAAGAATCGAAGTAATTATTTCCTACAAACGCTCAATAAAATGGAATTAACACCTAGCTTGACTACAGTATCCTTAGCAATCTCTGATGAACTGAGATCAGAAGATTTCCCGCCAAGCACGGGACCAGTTAGAGGCCGTAGGGAGCTACGCTGACTCCCAGGAAACTTAAGCTCTTTCGGCCAAAAAAAGTAACCAGACATGGCTCCATGTGATTTGATATCTCACTTGGTCCAAGGAATTTGGACTTGCCAGTCAGAGATCAATATGGCACTACTCCTATCTAGAATGAACTGGAAATTGTATGGCTGTATTTAAAGCCATTTCAAATTGTGGAGGAACACGGAGCAAAGGGGCCTGTCTAGCACCTGGCTTGCCAAGCTGACCACAGGCAGCCATCTCATCATCACCTCTGCTGAGTCGCAAGAAAACAGTGCATCCTCCTTCCACCAATATATTGCGAAACTCAATTATCTTCTCTTCAGGTGTTGGTTTAAATTTGGATCCAGAATGAGAATTGAAGGAAATGAGATTGATCTTGCAGGGGATGCCCTGAACAAGATCGATAAGCCTCTTTGCATCTTCAAAGCTGCAAATAAGCATAAATGACAGCAAATTTAGCTTTAAACATAATAGTAGCTGGTTAAGAACTCTCAACGAGTGAATCAGAATGACAGACAAAGGCACACCACCAAGAGACAAGCATTTTTCCTGGCTTTTAAGAAAGGAATACTTTCATAAGATGAACCTCATTATGATCTCCAATGCATACAGAAAAAGTCTTGAAAAATTGTCTCACTTTACTCTGCTTTCAAATCATTTTGCTCTGGCGTTGATACTAAAATAATTGGACCAGCATTGCTGGAGCTTGGAAGAGATGTGTGTGTGATAGATCTTAACATGAAACAGGTATCTATTAAGAGTACCTTGGTTCATTCAAAGATTTATCTTCTTGGTTTATGCTCTGCTAGCAATTCCCACTACTATAATCACAAACTGACTCAAAAGTCTGTAATTCGGGGTCGGGGCTGGGGCCAAGACTTCTATACCACATTCATGACAAACGATAAAATTGAAATAAAAAAGAAAGAGACAATTCCCCTCAATCTCCAATGAAAATAAAGGTCTTTTATCTAAATTCTGACCTGTCATTTACTCCAGCAAGCATGACATATTCGAATAGAACTTTGTAGTTATTCTTGTGGTGAAGTTCTTCTCTAAGGGTCTGTAAAAGCACGCTGAGCTTGTACTTCCTGTTTATAGGCATAATCCAGTTTCTAACCTGCAATATTTCTACAAAGCAATTAGTCCGCCATAAGAGACAAGAAGAGAATGAATAAAACAATGAGAGCAGGAACACTAGATAAGAAAGAAAGAGACCTCATCAGTTGTCGCATTCAGACTAACAGCCAAGGCACAGTCAGATTCATGTAAAAACCGTTTCAGCTGTGGGACAAGTCCACTGGTTGAAACTGTAACCTTGCGTGGGCTGAAATGAAGACCTTGCTCGTGCACCATAATATCTGCAGCTTTTATGACATTTTCTATGTTGTGCAGCGGCTCTCCCATTCCCTGAAATTTACTCTCAGCTTAGAGTTTCAATACACACGCTATAAAAGTCAAATTAGAAAATGTATGCACAGAGAATAATAGCATTCCAGCTTGAGTCGTAATGAGCAACACAATTTGAATAATTAAAGTCTCATGGTCCCAGCTTGCGTTTGAAAGAGAGACTGCATATCAAATATAAGCCCCAAAAGAGCAAGTCCTATCCCATTGCAGAGGCTTCTACCATTTAAAAGCTAAGACAGAGATACATCAGCAACCAAGAAGCAGCAACTAATATGGACCATAGACACAACTTTTAGAAAATGTGTGACCGCATGATCTTAGACACCAGAAAGGATGCTTAATTTTTGTTATGGCTGGATCAGATACACGAAATTACTGACAAACCCTGACAGAGTTTATCGTAGACTCACCATAAAGACAACATTTGTGATGGAACCAACTTCATCATGAAAAAGGCGGTGTGCAAATACAGCTTGATCTACAATCTCGGCTGCAGTAAGATGCCTTGTCAAACCCATCCTGGAATGGACCACATTAATCACGTAAACTTAGATTATCAAGCAGACATAACTTGTGAGGGTTAATATGTATCTCCAATAGGAAATTAATTTCACCTGCCAGTGAAGCAGAACTGACAATTCATGGCACATCCAACTTGACTCGAAACGCAGACAGTGTTACGGCCTCTATCGCAGGGTATGATAACCGTCTCGATTATGAGACCATCTTCCAAAGAGAATAAAATCTGCAACACCCTGTGCATTTCAAATTACTGAGATGACTCTTCAGAAAATTAACTATAGGAAGCTGCATAAATATGCTGTTGGAATGTTCATTGATCATCAAGCAATAATCTGAATGACCCTTAGCAACATATACATGGGTCAAACGCATTGTTTTCAAGGGCATTATTCAGAAAGACAATTTACCTTTTTAGTCCCATCAGCGGCTGCACGGATCTCTTTCAAAGACAACGCCCTGAGCTCAGCGTGTTCACTCAACATTTTCTTAAAATCTTTGTTCAGACCTAAATGCAGATTGGCGCTGAGTTAAATTCTACAAGTCCTAAGAATGAGAAAGCAAGATGGATGCATAACACGGGCAAACGAGCCCATAGCCATCACTCATCACATGGGCAAATAGAGGATGGGATTAAGACCCAAAATAACGACCAAATCAAAATGTTGCATCAAAGAGAACGACTACGATACCATGCAGCTCATCGGCAGAATGCGCCCAAATATTGTTACCGTACAAGCGCTTCCAGAGCATTAAAGCCTGACCAGGTCTGTATCCTTGTGACTGGACCCATTTCTGCCAAACAAATTCATAAGAACTAGTTCAAGATGTTGCGAACACGATACAAGCAACCATAGCACAAATTTGAGCGATGCAGTACCCTCCATAAATCAGTTGAAATTTAGGGTGCAATAATTTTGCGGAAAATGAATGATTCGAAAATTTATTTTTCTAGAAATGATCGCTTGTATTGCTTATAAAAATGAATGAATGAAAAATAATTTCTTCGTCAGTATAAATATTAAGACATAAATTATTATCTAACATTTTTCATTGGTTAATTAGTTCAAGCAATATAAGCGATTATTTTACGAAAATATTTTCCAAATCGTTCGTGTTCCGCGAAGCAAACGGACCATTAGACACGGTTGATTAAGCAATGAATCGCAAAATCAGGACCCCAACTAGTCACAAGTCTGGCATCATACATTCGAAGTCCGCTGGCATTCTCGGCGGAAACAAAACAGACATAAATCAGAAGAGAGAGCCGGTACATACTTCAAGTTCAGCATATCCCATTCCTTTGAGCAGCACCTTCGGTCCTCGCGCGGCGATTCCGCTCCCTCCGCAGCCTCCTGCGGCACAAAAAGAATCGAGGTAAAATTAGCCAGCAGCGGCGGAGGAGAAACGCACGCGAGTCCCATTCCGTCAAACAGTTTTCCAAGGCGCGGTCGAGGAACGGACGACTCACCGAGGTCGGGGCAGCCGTCGTCGGCGGAAACGAGAGGAGGAGGCGGCGGAGAAGAAGAAGAAGAAGAAGAAGAAGAAGAAGCGGAGAGGGAGCAGCGGTTGGGAAGGAAGAGAGGGAGCGAACGAGGCGGCGAGGGATTGAGCGACGGGAAGGAGGCGGAGGAGGAAGGAATCGGAGGAGGAATGGGGAGGAGGTGGAAGGAGGCGACGGCGGAGGTTCGAACCCTCCTCATCCACATACATCCCATCTCCATTTCTGCAGCAGCTTCAAGTCCTGCGCCGGTGATGTGTTACCGGTTGGGCAAAGGTAATAAACCCTCTTATTAAAGCGCCTCTCTTTTTCTTTTTTTTCTGGGCTTTTTCCCTTAGCCTGAACAATTTTTAATTATGAAAATCTATCTGCATCGCGTAAAGAAAACAAGAATTTTGTTCCGTAATAATCTTTTAAAACTACCATATTGTTCTGTTAAAATAACTGAGTTTTTTTATGTAATATTTAGAACACGGATGGTAGTTTTGGCGTCATCCAAAATATCATCTCGCTGCTCTATGAGCAAAGAATTAAGCGTGCTCGACGGTCCAGTTGATAGACACTTCAATCTAGTCAAATTAGTTCAATATGGAATGCGAACAACCGATCCCACAATCAAACTAATTGGATCGGAAAAACTTTAATTTTCGGCATCCCGCCTCAGAGATCGGGTCCGGTGCGTCTTCACCTTCGAGGGACGTGATTTCGCGCTGCGAGTCCTATGACAAGCGCATTGATATCTCCTCTCCTAGGCAATTTAACATAAGACTCGATTTCCAAATGGTAACGTGACCAAGGCATACACACCGCTAGTCATACAGCAGAAGGACAATCATTCATTTGAAACCCCAGAAACTCATTTCTTTGACCAACTTTACAAGGCGAAGAAGGCCTACATGTTACTTATTGGAAACCCTACGCCAGCTGCAGCTATATCTAAGCTCTTCAGAACAGTAGCTGCCTAATCTCCACCCTTGCAAGGTCGTGGGATCCATACTAGAATTTCCCCTTCTTGCAATCTCTCTCCGGGAACAGAACAAGGCCTCATTGATCCCAGAGCAAATGAAAAGCCTCAAGGTGAACGTAGCTGTGGTCTAATAAACTGATGCGCAATTTTGCACAAACAAGTATGGCTATGTCAAATCATTCTGGATCTAATTGGAAAATCAGCCACAAGAATACACTTGTGTAGCATCCGCTCTTAACAAGGCAGCCAGCAAGCGAGGCTATATAACGTTATGAACAGGGATGCATCTCGCAGTTAAGCGGGGAAAATTGGAGGTAAATGTTCAGCTAGCAAAACAAACTAAAGTACAATAGGCAGGTGAAAATTTTGCATCTAGTTACAAGGAGTTTGTGAGTACAACATTCTCATGCGGATCCCCTAGTCTCAGCAGATTCCAACTGATTGGCCTCAGAAAAGTATGCCTTGTGTTGCACAGGCTGTTCAGAGTCCGCAATGTGAGAAGCAAAGGAGTATCCACACCTTTGCACGAAAGGTGTCAGAAGATCAGTCCCTGCAAACCAGAAAAAGAAAAACTCAGTATGCTCCCTCGGTCAAAGGTTGCAGAATAGACAGATATTCAAGTCACCTCAATGCGTTTGCAACTCACATTTCATACAGCAAAAGGAAAGCGAAAAAGATAGGAATATGCAAGATGATAAACAGCACCATTATCATCCATTCTGACGAAATTCTATGCGCTAAAAAAGTTCGCTGGCTAGAAATCCAACCACCCCATCTTGATATATACCAAAATAGCACCCAATTTCCTCATCATGGCATATATTCTTATAGCTATATCGAACCTTGGAAGCACTGATCGTTTGATTCATCCTAATTTCCAGAATTCACGAGAGTAGTTTATACTTCTACTTAGCAAATTTTCTGTTGCCCTCCTGCCCGTTCATATGTAACATTTTTGGAAAAACTAGAATGGCTGTGTCTGTTTCTTATTCCTTCCTTTATATGACATCAACTGCATAATTCAGAAGGCAAGCAAGATTCTGTGAATTTTAAATAACATGCTTCCTAACAATTATTCTAAACCAGATTCATAATATAAACAAGCGTGATAGAAAGAAGCTACGTGTAAGAGAATGTGTATTTTGTGGCATTATCTACTATTTCTGCTTACTGAAAGAAAGTTCAAGGTATGGTTGCTCATTGTGACCTAGTCAAACTAAGATCTCTGAATTGCATGAGCAATTATGTGCATGCAGACATGATGCCTATCCTTATACACTAGCAATCTAGCACGCCTTCATCCAAGAGTTCAGCACCTATAAAAGTAAATTTCCTTACCCCATGCATTTCAATGGCATTACCAAGGGGAAAATAAGAGAGCAAGTTTGATTTATCAAAAAGAAGAAATTTGTCTGCGGCAAATGTACAATTGACCAACTTACCAACACTGTCTCAAATAAAAAGATCCAAGCATTTCTCCTATGACTAACATTTTCAGAATAAAAACAAACTGGAGTGGACAGGTAGGCATGTCTACTTGGGATTATCAAAACTCACAGGCTCATATGGATGTCGATCACTTGTTTCTATACATGAAGTAAACGAAAGAAAGAAGACGCACCGCCATCACATTGAACGAGAACAATCAACATTTCTATACTTTCATGGCCAAAACAATACTAACAGCTATATTTTAATCAACATATAACACAGCAAAGCATATGGCAGAAAGAAAAGCTACTTACCAATACTTGATTAAGCCATCCCAGCCACAGGTTGCTACTTTACTCTGTTCCAGTGGATGCCATTCACACCCGATACATACCCCCTCATGACATTTCAGAGTTCTGAAGACTTTGCAACTCTTCCAGTCCCAGAACCAGCATCTACCCTCCCCATCTCCAGACATAACAAACCGTCCATCTGGTGAGAAGTTAACTTGACAAGCATAGCCAGCCACAATGTGGCCAGCAAACCTCTTCTTCTTATTCAGCTGAAATCTTTCCCTAGTGCTATAAATAAGAATCTGATTGTCCAAACTCTGGGCTGCAAGCCAATTCGTATTCGGGTGCAGCGAGATCGAGGGCATAGAATGCATATGAGGCTCACTTATATACTTAATAACCACAGGGATCCCAAATTCCCAAACACGAAGCGACTTATCATCGCTCGACGTCACAAACCTCCGGTTATCATCGACAAAGGTAATCGTATTCACTGCACCCAAATGCTGATCATATTCCTGCGTAATTTGCCCCGTATTCATATCCCACTGAACAATCTTTTTATCACTCATTCCCGCCAACAAAATATTCTGCTTTTCATCATCTGGATGCAACTTAACCACATAAGGAATCTTCCCGGTCGAAAAAGTAGAGATAACCTTCCCGGTTTCTGTATCCCAGTACTTGATGTTCTTATCATAACCAGCAGTCAAAAACTTAGTGCCGTCATTACAAAACGATATGTCCCTAACAGCTTTAGAATGACCCATATACGTCCTCATACACTTACCCGAATTGAACACGTCCCAGATCTTCACTTTAGTATCCATCCCAGCTGAGAGGATCAAGTGGCCATGCTTGGGGAAGAACCTAATAGCAGACACACCCTTGGTGTGCCCACTCCAAGTGTGCACCAATCTCTTGGGTATATAACAATGATCATTCGTCGCCTTGGCGTCCTTGGGCGGCGCGATCCACGACCTGCCCTGATAATCCCTCTCCTCTTTACCATGGAAAGTGCTCTTATCGGGAACCACCTCCGCCTTCTCTCTGCCCTCGCCCCTCTCCTCGCCCTTCTTCTTCGCGTACTCCTCGGCATACTTCTTCTGCTCCTCCGTCAGCTCCGCCTGCAGCCCTTCCTTCTTGCCCGCCCACGGCGACTTCTTGTTCTTCATCAACCACGTGTCCGTGGCCGGGTTATCGACCTCGACCGGGTCCGCCTCCTCGGCCGGGCCCTCCGCGCCTTGCTCCTCCTCATCTTCCCTCTTCTGCTCAATCCGCCGCCGCTTCTGCTCCTGCTGGCGGATATTGTACACCGAAATGCCGTCGTTCTGCTTGAGCGCGTCGAGATCGCCGACGTAATCATTCCCCGCGGAGGCGGAGGGATCGGCCGCGTACCCGTACTTCTGGAACGTGTTGTACTGCTCGTCGAACAGGAAGGAGCCGATGGCGGCGTCCTCGACGAAGCCGAGCTTGTGGTTGCGCATGCCCTGGGCGATGCCGTCCTTGGCGTAAGGGTGGGCGGGGCCGTAGATGGGGGCCCAGAGCTGGTCGTAGGTGGGGTTGAAGGCGACGGCGTGCTGGGAGGGGTCGATGGGGCGGGCTAGGGTTTGGTTGGCCTGAGCTACGGTGAGGGCGAGGGTGGTGTCGTCGACCTTCGGGGCGGCGGACTTGGAGGGGAGGAGGCGAGGAGGGGAGGAGGATTCCGGCGACGAGGGAGGGCCCCGGTCGTCGTCGTCGCCCTCCGCGTAGGATTGCAGAAGATCCATGCTTTCGTTTTCGTAGGCGATTCGGAGAAGCAGTGTGCAGTGGAGAAGGAGGAGGAGGAGGAGGAGGAACAGGGGGGGCTCGGGATTTTTCAATATGAACGGGTCGGATCTGGATCTTTGAGTTTAGCGGTTTTGACTTGAGCTGGGTCGGCCCAAGAAGGGTAATATTGCTTGTTCGGGCCGGCCCGGATCGATATTGGACCTAAGGCGGTGGTTTGTGGATGGAAGTATGGTTGATCGGTTTTCGATCCGGTGCGGTCCACTCGGGAATCGAGAACCGGACTAGAAGGACTGGTTTCCCGGGGCCGGTCTGATCCGGTTCCTGGACTGTCCAATGTCTGATTTGCATGACAAGCACCGGAAGAAAATCAAAGACGCGGCCTTCTTTTTCATCACCCCTCTCGAACTTCTCGCCAGTCGCCACCCAGCGCGTGGGGCTCCATGTCATACAACCAGGTCCACCAAGGAAGAGATGGTGGCGGCCTTCATGCACAAGATGGACAGGCCACGGCTGAGGCCGGAGGAGGTGAGAGTGGAGATACAGTGGAGCCGTGCCTTGTAGGTGATTGGACGAGGGGACAAGACCATCAAAGTCAAGCTTCGGAGGAACCACAGAATGAGGGCGAGCGAGGCTGCGGCTTCCATGAGCGGTAACAGTGTGCTCACCGTCGTGAATTTTGAGAGGCGATTACCGTCGACAAGCCACGGCTGAGAGGCGAGAGGCAATTGGGGTTGTGAAAGTCTGAAAGAGGTGTGCGTGAGAGAGGAGAGGGAAAGAGCAGAGACGTGACTGGACTGGTGAGTCGTGAGCGACAAAGGAAAGAGGAGAGGAATGGACGCGTGGGAAATAAAAAATAATCTGTCTGGTTCCTTCCTAAAACCGAGGACCAGATTGAAAATCACCGGTTTCAATTTTATGGAACCGGGAATCGGACCGACATCCCCAGGAATCTCCCAGAATCAGTCGGTCCGAGCAGTTCCTTATTCGGGTCGGTCCATGTTGCTTACTACTAGATTGAAGGGCGCAAGCGACGGGGGCGTGTTCGACAAGTAGTAGTGGTCAGCTTTGATGCAGCATCAGCAACTCCGCCAGTGACCAAATGAAGGATATGGCTATAGTACGAGGAGGAAGATGAGAGTGAAAAAATAGAAGCTAAGTTTTGATTTTTTTTTTTACTTGCCATGTTAGGACACATGCTGATTTTTTATTGGTTTTCGGTAAAACAAGTACAGACCATATGACGAGATGGTATCTAACCATTGAATACTTTCTCATGCTTCCTTTATATAAGCCGTGAAAATATTGAAAAGGTTTCTAAATTGATACTCGTCAACAAGATCATTCTTATTGTGAATCAAGAAAATATCAAATGAGATTAATTGCGAAGCGGAAATCAGCCCTGACACATCACAAATAAAACAAATTTCTTCAACTATATTAGTGACGCAAGAATCAACATCATATCAGATCCTCCGCGAATCTGATTTTACAGCAGTAGATTTTTGGTACACATCACAAGCCCCTGAAGATCATCAAGGGTTCTTCATCTTTATTCTCAGCTTCCGGGTAATCTGTGTCGCCTTAGGATGGACCGGATGCTTTGTGCTGTCGCATTGTTCGACCTCTATCCAGTTTATGACCTTGATGATGAGCGACTGTGGCACTTTCTTGGCGTCCCCATCGCCCGCTCCCTTTGATTTCTTCAATCCTGCCTCCAGTGCTTTCTCCAGGAAATCCATGAACCACTTCCCAGCTTCCGCTTCGATCTGTTTTCCCAATTTGATCGTGTTGCTCAAGCTACCCGAAGCCGGTTTCTTGTTTTCGTCATTCTCACCGATGCTTTCGAGGGCTATCTTGCCGAGAGGAGTCGACGGGATTCTCCTCTCCGAGGGGAATTTCGGGTTGGCATTGGATTTCAGAATCTTTCTGCTAGTATCAGGTATCGCTGCCACGGACTTGTAGAGCGGGTTTCGTCTTCTGGACGAGCTTAGGTCTGAGTGCCGGGATGGCTCCATCGAATTGTCTGCTATTTCGTGTAAGATTTGGGAATCCTGTTCGGGTTCTTTGTCCTTGTCCTGGAGGTCCTTGTTTTGAGCCATATCAGTGGCCGCCTGAATGGACACCATATCGGACACCGCTTGCAAGATTTGCTGATGAAACTCCAGGAACTTATCGAAGCAGGCCGCAGGAGCATCTGCCCTTGCCGATCTGCTTAAGTTGGAAAACATCCTACAGGCGACAGAAGTAATAACTTGCTATTAGAGACCAATGAGAAGTTGAACCTAAGAGCACGATTATTTGTCAAGCCAGAATTTCCGCAATTGAGCTAAAGAATATCCCCAAAGGTCTTTCTCTAAGAAACTGCTAACCACTGAGGGAGAGAGGATCATGAAAGTCGCTTACTTTAGCGACCGGACTACAGTTTCGGTTGCTGAAGCATCTCTTAGTGCCTGGAGAGCGATTTTCTGAGCTGCCTCACGCTGCGACACGGCCTCCTGTCGGGCGTGAAGTGAAAAATCAGAACACTGGATGAGTAATGTCTGATTTCAGTAAACAAAAGATTCAAGTATTGTAGAAACCATTCACCTTGCCTAAAATACTAAGCTTTCCAGGCAAGTTCATAGGCAAACTGGTGCCACTATTATCCCCTGCTGGATTAGCAAACTGGGCTTGTGATTTTGACGAGGCCTTTGACACGGAGGGTGTCTGTCCATCTCCATCTGCATTCAAAGCGGACGCTCCTCTCGCCTTCCTCATACTTGGCGGCGGGGTCACGCTTTTCTTTTCCTAAATCAATTAGAGGGAACTCATCATTTCTACAGAAAAAAAAGCCAGGGATATCATTTCTCTTTTGGCTCGGAAGAGCGTGCAACAGAACAACGTAATTGGACATGGATCTATCTAACATGGCCTAAACATGTTTCAAGCACCAAATTCCTAAGGAAAGACGAAAAATGTACCTACAGCTGAGTTGAAGGTAGTCACCGTGACCCTTGCTTCCCTGTCACAGGCACTCCTGCTTCTGGGAAATTTTGATGCCGGCGTAATGCAGCTCTTTCTGAGCATAGCAGGACTCTCTTCTTTGGCATCCACCATCTTCGCCAAAAGCCCACCACCGACTGAGGACCGAATTCCTGCACCCGAACTCGTATCCCTCACCAACCTCCCTCTGATCAGAGGCGAAACCGACAGATTCCTCACCGAAGAACTAGCCCGCTCTTTCACCGGCGTGCACTGATCGAAATCCAACGGGACCGGCTTCAAAGCCATCGGAGATGAAATGCTATCTCCTCCACCACCAGGCCCTCTGCCCCAAGAGCCTCTTCTAGAAGACGAAACCCTCGAAACTGATTTCGCAAGGTCATTCCTCTCGCCCTTTTGTCGAAGACCCATGATCGGCTCCGGCGTGCCGACCAGCGGGTGCCGTCCCGGGAGAGGCTTCGCGCCCTTGACCACAGGAACCGGCGAGCCCGGCTCTAACCTGTCGATGTAAATGAACTGGCCAAGCTGCATTTTGTTACTGAGGACGAAGTCGTCTTGCTCCGAGGGGAGGCTGGCGTAGATGGAGTGCGAGGAATCGGAGATCTTGATGTAGAACCCGTGCTTGGGCCAGAGGTTCTTCTCGTCCAGGTCGGCGGGCACGATGTCCGTGACCTGCAAGAGCGAGCTCCGGTGCTCGCTCGTGGGCTTGACCCCCGTGTTCATTCCGTTGAGGAGCTTCATTAGGATCCCAGGTGCCAGAGTCGCCATTGGAGGTTTCGAAGGGGTTCAAGAATCGCCCAGAAGAGCAAGAAACGGAGAAAGATCCGATTTCCGGCGCTTTTGGCACGAATCGGGGTCGATTACAACAGCAAGAGAGGAAGGAATTGCAGATGAGAGAGGGGTTTCAAGGAGGAGGAGCGTTGAGGGATGAACAGATGGAAGTCGCTGACGGTAGAGAAGAGAAAGAGGCCAAAGCGGAGCGTTGGATTTTTAAATTTGATTCGAGGATGGCCTTTTGGAACGTTGCGGCAACGGTCATATGTTGGGGCGTCTTGTCAACCAAATCCGAGCCGTTCGTTTCTGGTTTTTTATTTGCCTTTGGTTTTTGAATCGTGGGGACGTAATGAGTGTGCCGCTTCCGCACTTTTGCTTAGCTTTTGCTTGGACGTAATAGTTTGTTGGAGTAAAAATAACTTTAGCAAGTGTCTTTCATCGATGTAAATTCATTCGAGTTTAATCCCATTTCGATGTGTTTGTTTTGCGAAACACTTCTTAATATAGGACGATGTTTTCCTTTTAAAATCATTTCTACGGAAAATAATTGATTTTCAGTTATTTGGCGGTATATACTTTGAAGTGAGAAGGAAAAAGCATTTTGGTGTTTAGATCTCACTTGCACGGAGTTAGAGTGGTTCTCAATTCTGTGTGAGGGTGTGTGTGGAAAAGAAGCTCGGGAAAACGATTTCTTCTTCTTAGGATGCAGCAATCGTTTTCCTCGATTTTAACTACACGTGTTTTCCTCGACCATATGATCTTTTTCCTTAATTATCTACTTTCAGCGAACCGAACACTTTTTTTTTTTTACTGAACACTAGAAAGTTTGGAAAATTGTCATTTTCATAAAGACAAGCACACCCTCTGCGGGCGGTTCTTTTCAGTATGGTATTGACCACGATTGCATGGCTATGGAAACCTGGCATTGGACCCGATCCAGTAGAATTGCATCTTGGTAATTCAAAGCAAGCTCTAATCTCCATTTCGAACTGTGCGAACCTTTGGCCGAGTCATCTTTTGCACCTTTCACGTCGGATGTCAAAATAGGAACTTATTCGAGAGAATTTAAAAGAGAGAAAGGCTGCACCCGGAGGTGGCGAAGAAATCTCACTAGTTCGGAAAGAAGTCGGACAAAACTTAAATATAAATACAAAGGGGAAACCCGGAAAGAGTTTGAATTAGTAAAACAATTGGAAAGGGAAGTGAAGACTAAGGAGCCTTGCCCGGCAACTAAATCCACCTCGATTGAAGTACATAATTATCAACATACCATTCAAGATGGAACCGGACGGAGTAGACCTAACGATTAGAACGATACAACAGACGATGATGGTTAGGTGAACAAATGTTTTTGATGTCGGAAAATGTTTGTGGGCTGGGCAGGGTCTTGCAAAATAAGCAGTCGAAGGAGTACTCTTACGTTTGGATTTCGTAGGTCGAGCCCAATTCATCTTTTTGCCCCTCTTTCTTGGTTTGTTTTTCGTTTGGATTTCCCCCTTCTCCTTTTGAGGTCGCTAGCTTGCTTTTTGTCAACGAATGCATTGAGCGATTTATTAAATAAACGAATTAGGAAAGTTGGATTTTTTTTTTTTTGAAAAAGAAAAAGCTCAGCTAACTGCACCATTACTCTGCCAAAAGTGACGGTGCAGTCTCGACCCCATATTTTTCCAAGGAAACCGGACCACTTCGGAAATCCAAAATCCCACTTTGCAACAAATCCCTCCGAGTGGGAACCCCGTAGATAAAAAAGTTTTGCCATGGTAAGTTAAAAGGAGGAAAAAGAAACATAAGATTATTAATGACCAAATATTCATTTGATTTAATACTTGTGTCCAACTGGTCCAATTTAATGAGACATGGTACTTTTTATGAAAATTTACGAAAGATCGCCAATCTGTCAATTTCAAGTTAACCACATTGTATTATATCGTGTTCAATTTAGATTGAGATTTCTCAATATATTTATAGGGAAAAGTACAAAAAAAAGTCCTAAACCTATTGCATCGGTACAAATTCAGTCATAAACTTTTCAATTGGATCAATTTAGTCATAAACTTTTTCCAATTGGCACGTATTCAGTCCATCCGGTCAATTTGGGCCGGAAATCGCTGACGTGAATGCCGGCGGTCCTACGTGGCACCGTCGGTACTGACGTTGACAAAATTTATAATTTTTTAATAATTTTTTCAGATTTTTTAATTTTTTTCTCTTTTCTTTTCTATCCTTTTCCTTTTTCGGAAACTGGTGGCCGGCGCCGGCCATGAGTGAGGGCCGACGCCCTCCACCAGATCCGGGCGAGGGCCGAAACCCTCGCCACCCCTCTCCCGTGGCCGGCGAGAGCGCGGGGGCTCTTGCCCAGACCAGGCGAGGGTTGCCGGCCAGACCAGGCGAGGGTCGCCGGCCCTTGCCTGTGGCCGGCGACCTAGCGGGCCACCAGTTTCTAAAAAAGGAAAAAAGGAAGAAAAGAAAAGAGAAAAAAGAAAACAATATTAAAAAAATTATTAAAAATTTTAAATTTTGTCCATGTCAGCACCGGCGGTGCCATGTAAGGCCACCGGCGTCCACGTCGGCGATCTCTGGCCTAAATTGGCCGGATGGACTGAATTGGTACCAATGAGAACAGGTTTAGGACTAAATTGATCGAATTAAAAGGTTTAAGACTGAATTGGTACCAATACAATAGGTTTAGGACATTTTCGGTACTTCCCCCTATATTTATATTGTATTCGATATGGGGTAGCGGTTCCAGATTCCTTATAGGTTCCACTTGGAACTTAGAACCTACCCGTCAAAACGTGGAACTTACCCTGTCATAGGTTCCAGGGTCTAGTCAGGTTCCACCTGTATTATTAATTGAACAATTGTAGGGAATCATCACCTTTAATAACTACTATTTGCTCCTATGAACTACTAATCACAACTTATATTTAGATATACGAAATATATAAACATTAACAAGTCATAAAATGAAAGCTTAAACTAGTAGTTTTGGATTATACACTCATCATCTAACGCCATGGAACATCACAAGATCATGCGAAGACATATATCAAGAAAAAACACAAAAAAATTATTTAAGGTTCCAGATTCCACTTACCTAAAACCTGAAACCTACCAGTCGAAATAGGTTCCCTAATTTTTGGAACCTGAAATTTACCATGCATACCTTAGAACTTGAAATCTACAGATTCCCATCGGTCAGATTCTCAGGTTCCAGCTTCTACCCTGGAACCATGCTCACCCCTAGTATTCGAGTCATTTTTTTGGATTGTATTAGAAATTGTGATCCCTAGGACGAAACAGTTTGTATTCTTTTTTTCTTTTATTATCATACAACTCATTGTAATTTTATTTCTCTTTTCTATTTAGTATCAAAATCCAAATCAAGAGACAGAAGTAAATTTCTTTTTTCAAAAAAGGAGGCTAGCTTGGGTTTTAGTGTGCAAAAACTTCGAAAAATTTGCAAGTCCAATTTATCTGGTTAGGATTTCAATTAATCCTTCGGGGCTTCCACCCTAATTGGTTTTCCTCTTTAAGCAGTTTCCCATTCCTCTTAAATGAAAATTGTGGTCCACATTGCACCGTCATCATGCTAGCGGTGTTCTTCCCTTAATCCCACGATGATATTTCTTATGTGTGAATATAATAAAAACTAAGGAAAATGATCAATATGAAGAAAACCCACCAAACACCCATAACAATACAAAAATTCTGATTAGTGCCTATTCATCACCACCAATTGAGCGACCATGACCGTGTGCTCAAATCGAGTGGCCATGGCGGCCTCGATCTTCGTAGCACAAAAAGATCTATTGGACATGACCAATGCGGGTGGTTACAGTGCCCACCAACTTGAACTCGTACATTCATGGTTGCCCGCAAGGTTAGAGCTTGATCTTGCGGCTATGGCGGCCGTGACATACCTCTATATCTATCTCTGTTTTGTTTTCTTTTATATTGTTTGATGTAGCGCCTATTTGGCGATACATTATATCATGGAGCGAATCATAGTACGACACATGTATACTAGTGTATGTGTAAGCGATCTTACAAAAGAAAAAGTAAAACGGAATGACTAACGCACGGCAATTTTTTACTGTAAAAAATAGAGAGATTATTTTGATTTTCGGATAAAAATAGATGTGCCACCGTAATATTATTCCCTTAATAAAGTAAAAAGACAAAACCTTTTATTCCACATTTTCTCACTATAACTGCGCCGTCCTCCTCGCAGGACACCAACAGATGGACCAAATGATATTTGCCAAAAGAGCGTCCGGTGCCGTGTTCAAAGCAAACTTTGCCATCCAAACAGCACACCTATTGTCTTATAAATACACATGAGCAATGTGTAGCTGTGGACTAGAACGAATCCAATCAAGTATCTGCAGCCGTAGAGGGAAAGTTTTGGGATCTTCGGCGCCGACGGTTCGATGTATTTAAAACTCGATTGCTTTTTTGCTCCGTATAATCAATACTTTAGGAATTGACTCATTTTTCGTTCACCGTTCCAAAGACACTTGGAGCGAACGACTGCATTCTCCCATACAAAAAAGGTCTGCATTTTTCCTTTGATGGACTTAGGGACCCTGAGTTACGATATCTGATCGAAACCACAAAGTAGTCCTGAGCTTTCTCCTTGTGTGTATATCGAGCATTATTGAGTGCTTAAATATGATCTCTCTCGCTTAGATGTTTGGTTACGGTCTGTTACGTCAGGATAAATTTTGATATACATATTGTATCAGCCATCCATTTAAGTTTGTTTTAGTACTCTCATTGCATATGATATGGCTAATACTTGTACATTCAATTTGCGTTGTTTATGAGGTGAATATACATATTGATTAGTCGGTTTCGGTAGATCGAACAAGTAAGAAAAGTTTAATGCCACGATGAATTGGTTAAGAAAATCCAACTTTCGTTTTCAAGTGTAAGCTTTTCCCGGAGGAGACTACTTCATCTACCAAATTTAATGGCAAGGAACGGGCATGTCATTAATATGTCTACTCACCCACCAGATTTTGGGGATGAAATCAACGGTTTTTAGTGGGCACCTGTTGAGCAATCAAATGGAATAAATTCGCAAATTTCACTACACCAACCTTTTCAGTTTATGTGTGATTAATCATTCGAAAATCGAAATATTTCTTATTAAAGATCTTCCTAAAATTACCCCCGATGCGCTTACTGCGAAGACTTGTCATGACGAATCTTTTAAGAACTAGATTACAACTCAATGGAATCCAAAGTTGCTATAAACTTTGTTGTTGCTAGAGAGAGAATTATGTTAATGGGAATGGCGCATGAAATAGGTTCGATTTTGCGAGTAAGTTAATGTCGTAAGAGTCGTGTCAACGAATGCTTCCAAGTAGGGGCAAGTTCGGGCCGAGCCACAAAAAACAAAGAAATTAAGTCGCCTCTAGTGTTCTGAACGAGTACGTATCAAATATTCAGTCATCACAACCGTTCCAACATGCACTACCTCGAGAGGGCAGAGTCGACCGATGATGATAAATGTGCTGAGCTACCTCGTTCTCCCCCACAGCAGTCAATTTTAAATGTCGGGAGGACTCTTGCCAGCTTTACGTCGGGTACATTGAGTTATAGCACGTACACCTATCATTCACTGTAGCAATTTGAGTGATTCTTCGCAGTAATCGCCGGAGATTGATTTGGGAAGTGTCGATATGAACCATAGTAGCTATTAGCTATTATAAACAGCTCATCCTATCTACTCGGAAGACTCGAATTTGTTCTTTTGTAGGTTTATTGTTGGTGACATCCATGTGGTACAACACATTGAACAGTTCAACTCACAATAGGTATCGCAAGCTATATGCCACATTGCTTCCACATTCTCTTCTCGTTTGAGCTATCTCTCAATGGCGATCTCCGCGATGAATTGGGCATGTCTTCTTTTGACTTCTCGAAGATGAATTTCCCTCCTATATTGTAATGTTAGGCTTGGTTTTGAGCAGTAGTCAACAAACCAATCCAAAAAGATATAATTAGAAAACGGGAATAGACTCTCCACCAAATTTTGGAGACTAGGAACATTGGTCAATGTCGGTGTAATGACTGTGTACCTCGGCGCAGAATAGTGTTGTAGCGTGAGTGGGGACCTAAGTTAGTACACAAGCAGAGAAAAGCAAGCAAAGTCCAAGCATTCTGTGGACAGTATGATGCCATGAATGGCAGAGTGTATCTTGAAACAGTGATTTAGAGGATCGAGTCCTCGTATTATGGAACATTTCCTGATTTGAGAATCAATCGGATTGCTTTCGATGAAGCGAAGAAGGGAAAAGTGCCAAAAAAGTCCTAAACCTTTTGCATTAGTGCCAATTTAGTCCTAAACCTTTTTTTGGTGTCAATTCAGTCCTAAACCTTTTGCATTTGTGCCAATTTAGTCCTAAACCTTTTTTTGGTGCCAATTAAGTCCTAAACCTTTTAAATTGGTGCCAATTCAGTCCTAAACCTTTTGTTTTTGTGCCAATTTAGTCCTTCCGGCCAATTTAGACCGGAATTTGCCTACGTGGACGCCTGCCGGCCGGCGGCCGGTCACCGGGGCCGACGTGGACAACTTTAATATTTTTTTAATATTTTTTTGAATTTTTATTTTTTTCCTTTTTTTTTCTTTTTTTTCCACTTTTTTTTTGGTTGTCTTCCTCCTTACTCTGGCCGGTCGCCGGTCCGGCGACCGGCCAGAGGCTGGCGAGGGCGAGCCTCGCCTTGGTCGGGCGAGGCTCGAGCCCTCGCCGGGGAGGCCGCGGCGAGGGCGAGCCTCGCCATGGTCGGGCGAGGCCCGACCTCGCCGGATCCGGCGAGGTCGGCGTCGACCTCGCCGGATCCGGCGAGGTCGGGCCTCGCCCGACCAAGGCAAGGCTCGAGCCCTCGCCGGAGGCCGCGGCGAGGGCGAGCCTCGCCATGGTCGGGCGAGGCCCGACCTCGCCGGATCCGCGAACGCTCGACCTCGCCGGATCCGGCGAGGTCGGGCCTCGCCATGGTCGGGCGAGGCTCGCCCTCGCCGCAGCCTCCCGGCGAGGGCTCGAGCCTCGCCATGGTCGGGCGAGGCCCGACCTCGCCGGATCCGGCGAGGTCGGGCCTCGCCGGCGGGCTGGGCGAGGCTCGACCTTGCCAGATCCGGCGAGGTCGAGCCTCGCCCGACCATGGCGAGGCTCGGCCTCGCCGGGCGAGGCCGCCCTCCCGGTGGCCGGCGAGGTAGAGCTCGCCGGCCCCGGCTCTGAGCTGATCGCCGGACCGGCGACCGGCCAGATGAAGAAGAAACCAAAAAAAAGTGAAAAAAAAAAAAAAAAAAGAAAAAAATAAAAATTCAAAAAATATTAAAATATTATTTAATTTGTCCACGCCGCCACGTCGGCACCGGTGACGGCGCCGGCCAGGCAGCGTCCACGCCAAAATTCGGTCAAAATTGACCGGAAGGACTAAATTGGCACAAAAATAAAAGGTTTAGGACTGAATTGGCACCAATTTAAAAGGTTTAGGACTTAATTGGCACCAAAAAAAGGTTTAGGACTAAATTGGCACCAATGCAAAAGGTTTAGGACTGAATTGGCACCAAAAAAAGGTTTAGGACTAAATTGACACTAATGCAAAAGGTTTAGGACTTTTTTGGCACTTTTCCCAAGCGAAGAACGAAAGTAACTCTAGTCTCGTCTCTTTCCATAATGGGATTGTGCTTTTCGATAGATCTTTCGAGTCTTGCCTTTAGTCTCATATCGAATGTGTGCATGGGTAAGCTTGGAAAGATGGGTAAGTATAGTATTCCTCTGAAATCTCTTACATTCTATTTGTGGATAGAATTCCTGATTAACATGGAAACTGTTAAATTATATCACGAGTTTGAATAATTAAACGAAACCCGAGTTGAAATTAATTAGGAAAGTCCGGATTGTTGCCACCTTTGGTTCGTGAAAACAGGAAATAAACTCCTTTACATTCGGCTGAAATCTTCAGAGGAATAACAAAGGAATTTGCTTCTCCGTCAAAGTTCCTTTTCTTTGTTATTTTGGGCAACTTGGATTCTGGGCTCACATTCTTTGATAAATAATATGTAGTTTCTGAGAAAAAAAGAGAACGAGAAATGATGAAGTTATTGTCCTTAATCACTTTAACATTAACAGCTCATTCTAAGCCACAAAAAATAAATAATAAATAGTTATAAATTGTTGTGAGGATTCATCCTTTCAATAATTTATAGCTCATAACACGTCATTACTCTTACATTGACCCAAAGACGTTTTTGCTAGCAAAGCCCAAAGAGAATAGTTGGTCAGCGACTCTGAACAAAGAAAACATTCGTGGATTCGAGTGTTGTTGACATGTGCGTGCTATGGGACGAAGCGATCTCAAGCGTGAATTTGACTTATTGGAGTTTTTCTTGAGCTGTACGAAGGAGCTCTGAACAACAGACGATTTGTTGATGTGAACTTTACATTCAATTGAGTTGTTAATAGTGTGTTTGGGCTTTAATCTAATTGTGGAAAACACTCGAGCGTATGAGCGGGCTTTTCCCGTGGAGTAGGCATCGACACTCGAATCGAACCACGCAAATATTATTTCTCCAATGGTTTCGCAAGATTCTATCGATTTTCACATTAATTTTACAACAAAAAAACAAGGGATAATGACACAAATAGTCCATGAACTTTGGCCCAATATGCAATTTGGTCAATAAACTTTTAATTTGTTCAATATAATTCTTGAACTTTAGCCTAATGTTCAATGTGGTCCTTGAACTTTTAATTTGTTCAATGTGGTCTATGAACTTTTGGTACATGTTCAATTTAATCCCTGAACTATATGAAATTATTTAATGTAGTCCCTGAACTTAAATTAATGGAAGGATTACATTAAACATTTTCATATAGTACATGGACTAAATTGAACATGTACTAAAAATTTAGGAATTACATTGAATAAATTAAAAGTTCATGAACCACATTGAATATTAGGCTAAAGTTTAGGGACTGTTTAAGTCATTTTCCCAAAAAATAATGGCTATGGCTTCTCTATGTGGCCTCGCTACAATCTCTCGAGAGGGACCAACCCACGTTCGTCTGTTCAACATCAAAGACTCTTATGTGTTGCAGTTGTCCGGAAGTTAGTTGGCCTTCAATTTCGTTTTCAGAACCCTCACGCTGAGTAAGTCGCAGCTCGTACTTGCTTTTGTTCTCTACTGGACTAAGCCAGACACGTACGTAGGACGTGAAACTATTCACTTCACACTCTCGTGCCATGCCCCTTGGGAGTCGCATGAGATCACAGCACGTCTAGCCTTACGACTTAAAAAGACTCGGGACACTAGGGACATGACTTCGTGCTTTGTCCCATCACTTTTCACCGAAAACCGGCACCAGAATGCACCATGCACATCGTCAAAGAAATACAAAGCAGTAAATGTTGTTGACAGAGTTTACCATTAAATCAGAAGAAATATATTGGTGAAGTAAATCAATGATAACCTAACTCGAGGTGACGGCAAAACTTGCCTTTGCCATCGGGACGAACCCAAACGACTCAATTCCTAACTACTCGATACTTACGTTTTTGATATCGATCGGCCATTGTCCAGGTCATGTCGTTCTCGAAAATCCAATGGCAGACCTCGATCCGTCCCGGACTTGACCCTAGCGCGAGGAAGGCGCCGTGGTTGGCGCTCCAAGCCGACGTGTCGAGATGGCAGATGGCGACGCCGTGGTTGATCTTGGTCTTGAGCTTCGGATCTAATATATCTGCTTCGTACACTCGGACCTTCGGAACCGAATGACAGTAATAGAGCAAATAAGGAAACAGACTCTGATGACATGACACTGACTTAGTCACTCGACCGCCATTGATCCCTTTGACTTGTCCGATTAGGATCTCGCTGTTTGACCCTTCGATGCTTTCCGTGGACTGAACCACCACATTGCGTCCAAGGATCGATGTGGCGAAATCAATCATGTCCTCAATGGAGGACACACATTGCTTGGACTCACCGCGGCTCGGTGCTCTCTCGCATTCTCCGAGCGCGTCCGCCATGATCTTCTCCATGGTGGAATTCTCTCCGGCGTGGAAGATTTGCTTGAGCTCTTTGAGCTTCAAGGTCGAGAAGGGTAACTTGGATGCGATGCTCCGGGGCAAAAACGACCTTTTAGGCATTTTGTCCCGAATGTCGGGCATTGGCATCACCGTCCCCGTCTTCAGCATCGACTCCCGGAAGAATTTGCCCGGCTCCACCCACCTATTTACGTTCTTGCCACTCAAAGCTGCATTTGCGTCGACGGACGATGTTGTTCTGTTCGTGTAGCCAGAGAAGGTGGCGACCGTATTCTTATCATAGGCCTTGAAGGTGTTGTTGACGCCGTAGACCTTGAATCCAACGGCCTGCCCTGGCGCTCCTCCATACCCGGTGAACTTATCGCTCCCCTCGTTGAAAGACTTGCCGTAGTTGGCGAAGTTGACCTTCGCCGAGTCCGAGCCCTTCGCGTATGAAGTGAACGAGTCGTCGCCCACGTTGGCTCCCTCCCGATAAGTCTTGAAGCTCTCGACCGCCCCGTCGCCACCGTCGCCGTAGCCCTTGAAGCTGTTCTGGGGGTTGTTCCCATCGAGGCCGTAACTGGTGAAGCTGCTGTTCGCGCCTTCACTGCCTTGGCCGTAGCCACTGAACCCGGAGCCCACATTGTTGGAGCCAGTTGCGTAGGCCGTGAACTCGTTCGGAGTTCTGTTTCCGCTCTTGCCATAGGTGGCGAACGTCTCGGCCCCGGAATTGGTCCCCTCAGTGTAACTGGAGAAAGAATGCGATGCTCCTTCACCACCGGAGCCGTAGTTGTTGAATTTGAGATTGGGTATGTTGACGTCTTTGTTGTACTCGACGAACTCGCCATGGCTGCCGGTGGAGGCGACTCCGTAGCCGTTGAAGCTCTGGTCTGCCACGTTGCCTTCAGTGCCGTAGACGGAGAACTCATCGCGGTGAGTCTCCGAGCCGCGGCTGTACCGGCGGAACGAGCTGACGGGCAGGTTCTCCTCGACGGAGTAGGCCTTGAACGAGTCGCGCCCGCCGACCCGCTTGGTCCCGTAGTTGGTGAAGTTCTCGTTGGAGTAACCGGCGAAGTTGGAGTCCCCGTCGTGCCTCTCCAGGGTGGCGGCCGATGGCAACTCCGGGAAGCAAAGCAGCCGCGCCGCGGCGCAGAAGGACGGGAGGTGGGCGGAGATGGCGCCTCGGGCGGCGAGCTTGGCGAACGCCGCCGCGTCCGTGGCGGTCAGGGGTGAGGCCTTGGACAGGAGGAAGGGCGGCTTGGGGAGGTCGTTGGCGACGCGCTGGTTCCAGTAGCGGACGAGGTACGCCTTGGGAGTGAACGGATTGGCATGGGCGGCGGAAGCAACCTGCATTGGGACAAGAAGAGAAGAGAACATCAGTGAGCGATACTGAGCACAGAAAGAAACAGCATGTGCGACATGAACACAGAGGTCAGAGCTCGACTCACGCTGAAAGAAGAAAGCAAGAGGAGGAGGAAGAGAGACATTGGTTGCGTTTGAGTTTGAGCTTGAACTTTAGGACTGGGTCAGGATGTTGTATTGCTGGTTTTGGTTAGATTATCTGAGCCCGAGTTATTTATAGGTGGAGAGATATGATACAAGTATTAATTGGGAAATCTCTGCTGGGATATCTTCTGTAGCTATAAAGATTTATTCATATTCCTCCACGGAAATATTTCCTAATTTCGGTGGATATCGGTTGTTTGCCAGGATTCTGCTATTGTATATCTTGGTTTATTTCGTTCGTCTTAGATTTGCTTTCCTAGTATGAACTTCTTATTCTGATGGCGTATGTTTCTGAAGCCTTGATCATGAAGTTTGCCTTACTTGGATAGTCTTAGCTTATTCTAAAATCTCCCTCAAGTCCCTCGAGTCCATAGCATGAGCTTCATAGGAAGCTTTAGAAGCTACAGAGAACAGACTGCTGATGCTGATGACCAGTTTGGTAGGATTTCGAAGCTCTTTGACCCCTCTGTTCGTTCCTCTCTCTCGGTGAAGACGATGACGACTACCACTTCCGTGGACGGCTGCTCACGAGAGTGCCGCGTCTCCGGACCTCGTGGCCTTGCCTTTGTCGGCCCGTGCGTCGCCCTTGTGATGCGCCGACGCGCTTAGCCGCTAATGCTTTTTGTTTCCATGTAATGGCGAAAGTTCTAGTCACAAGCACTTTTATTGGTGATCCTTCTCTTTCACGCTGGTGCATTATTGGGAAGGAACAGGACGGAACATCTTGTTAAAGAACAGTGAGGGAGCTCGTGAAAGTGTGGCCATCTTTGTGTGATTTATTCCCATGCGATTATCAATGCTAAGTACAAGGCATCGGCATCGATTGGCATATCGATTTTGTAGGGATGATGTTAATATGCCTCCATTGCCTAGTGGTACTCCCTTTTTGCATCTATTTGTTAAGTAACAGTGACGAACTTTGCATACTGTCCCGTTTGGGATTCCGAGCTTAGCTTATGAACCCGGCAGCCGGTCGGTCCACGATCAACTCTTTCTCGAATCGTTGAACTAGAACAATGGGTATATGGTAACTTTTGACATAGGGCCCATCATTCGAATTTGCCTAGATAATCAAATTCAATAGCGTGTGGTTTCGACCGTGGTGTATAATTTGTTTCGATATCTCAAAAAGTCGTCACAACTAAACATCGTCATTCTCCATCAACGTAGTACAAAATCAAAGAGCGACTAAGATGTTGGAAAAATATTAGATAGTATAAAAATAAAAATTGTTGGAAATCTGTTGAAAAAGATGAGAAAATAAGATTAATTATCTGGGGCGTGCAAGCATTATCCTTAAGGATAATTCCGATCCTCGGAGTACGAAACTCGGTGCGTAAGGCTCTAGTGGTTATCCTCTCAAGATACAATAGATCTTTTTCTATACTTCGTACTGAATATTATAAGGAAGATAAACAACGCTATGTATATAACTCATTAAAGAAAATAAAAAAATACGTCTAACGAGAAACGAGAATATTCTTGTTTTGATATATCACTATCACTTTCCAATTATGTTCAAAGTAGCTATTTTTAGATAAAAGAAAGAGAGAGCCGAATCCGCTATAACTCAATTGGTAATTAAAGAAGAATATGACCGTTATAACATAATGAAGAAAGTTTATGAAGAAATAAATCAGCATTATACAAAGCCGTTATAAGACGCACAAAACCGTTTTATGTTAATAGCCGACAAAAACGGTTACAAATTAATGACGGTAAAAAACCGTTACAAAATTAATAACTATTACTATTTCAAAACTATTAAAATATCCAACAAGTCAAGTAAACCGTACGTAGGCTGATGTTCCTCAGGCACAAGTTTTCATGGATATCTATTTGCTCCATATTGGAGGCAAACCAAGCTCAATTTACCATGCGCATAGTCGGCCAAAATGATTTGATGAGTGGGTTAAGATGCAATTGGCGAGCGTGTCTCGATGATCTTCATGAGGACAAATTTGGGCATTGGAAGGACCTGGAATTATTGCTGCACGGTCAACGGGCGTTGAATCATAAATGAGAAAAATAGATGTGGGTCCGCCCCGGGTGTTCGATGATTTCTTGAATTGGACCCATCGCGGATCCCTTCATCAATGTCAAATGTTTGCTGCCAATTCGTCATTGCCACATGGGTCGATCGAATAAATGGTAACGGGCCATTCGACTATGCTTGGCCCAAGGGTTTGCTCTTGCATCGCCGACAGCAAGATCTTGGAACGTTCATATGGATGTGAGCCTTTCCCGGTCTCTCTTTGATCGTTGGATACCCCGGTTGTTTGATCATCGCGACGGGCTATCCGAACCTCGGCTTGGCTAATCTCCACGATGCGTCCAAAACGCTTTGCCTAAGTGCATCCGTTGATGGTGTAGTTCCCGACATTGCTTTGAGTGGAAGATATTGTGATTCGATCCTGAATTACCGAATCTAAATCAAAGACTTGAACAATGAGCTAATCCTTTGAGGAGCGCCACTCGCTTAATTTCCGCCATGCTATTGAAATTCAGTTGTAGATGGTTGTCGAGAAAAAAACAGAAGAAAAGAATTAGCTTAAAATACGATAAAAGAATTAGCAAATGGTACTTGCAAATCTTGAATCAAGTGAGATCCGTCAGCGATGTGCTTCACCTAATGTCATTAATCTCTTATACTTTCCATTTGTTTTGATGTCAAGGCGTTGATGGTAGAGATATAAGATGGAAAAATAAAATTAAACAAGAAGATAATCTCTGACAATGGTATAGTATAGCTTAAGAATTTGAGATATGGAATCATGTTATTTTCTGGAAAGAGGTGGATATTAGGTAACGAAATTTTTCACATGCATACCACAATAATTTCAGATACTAGATCAAAATTATCCAAACACTTGACATTTACTAACCACAACCATATTTACATATATACACGACTATGGTCGTGGATATTACGAAGCTGATACCATATTAGATAATACGTTTAAGCAAATGATGACTAGGGATGGAGCTAGCGGCTAATTTATCTCAGTCTCTAGGTCCAACCTATATTATTCAATTTGACTCACACTTCACTTTTTTTCATTACTAATTGGCCCCTGTCCAGACCACATAATCCCCATAGACCCAGTGGCAAGCCTCAATTTGACCAGGGCCCGACCCAAGTGCAAGGAATGCCTCGTGATTTGGACTCCAAGCCGACGTGTCCATATGACAGAGGGCGATGCCATGGTTGATCTTGGCCTTGGACACGGGATCCAGTATATCCGCTTCGTAAATCCGGAGTGTCGGAAACGCATGACAGTAATAGACCATGTAAGGAAATACACTCTCGTGGCATGCCACGGGCGCACCCGATTCACTCCCGCCTATCCTTTTCACTCGTCCAATCAAGATCTCACGCTTCGACCCTCCGACGCTCTCCGTGGATTGAAACTTGATGTCGTGGCCTAGTATTGAGGTGGCAAAGTCGATCATGCCCTCAACAGAGCTAACACATCGCTTGGTCTCACCTTGGATCGGCGCTTTCTCGCACAGGCTGAGTGTGCGTACCATGATCTTCTCCATATTTGAATCATCCCCAGCATGGAAGATTTGCTTCAGCTTGGCGAGCTTCGAGGTGGAGAACGGTAATCCAGAGGAAATGCTACGTGGCAAAAACGACCTTTTGGGCGTTATGACACGGAGATCCGGCATCCGGATCACCTTCCCACTCCTCAGCATAGATTCTCGGAAGTGTTTGCCAGGCTCCACGCCTTTGTTCACGTTCATGCCACCTGCCAGTGCCGTGGCACCACTATCGACATCGTAGCCAACTGGATAGTATGATAAGGTTGGGAAGCAGAGCAGCTGTGCAGCCTTGCAGAAAGATAGGAAATGATCAGAGATGGTATCTTTAGCCACGAGCTGGGCAAAAAGGGTCGTTTCTGCAGCAGTTAAGGGTGAAACTTTGGATATGAGCAGTGGTGGTGTGGCGAGGTTGTTGGTGATTTGTTCGTTCCAGTAACGGGCAAGATTTTCTTTGGAAGGGATTGAGTTGGCATCGCCGGCAAGGGAGTTGGCGCCGGTAGTGGTTCCAGCGGTGGTGGGAACAACCTATATCGGGATAAAACAGAAAATCAGCGAGTGATTAGAAAGTTAACATGATGCGACGGACCTAGGATAGTTCACCCAGTTTAAAGCTGTAGTAACCCTAAAGTACACTTTACAACTCAGTTATAAGACAACAAGGCTACAACACAACCGCAGTATGATACCAAACAGACTGAGTATAATATCCCTGCAGTATACATGGGACATGGATGAAACTGTAATGAACGTGCAAATGGTTGTAAGCAAAGTAACAAGAAGTTATACCTGCGAGATAACAAGAATGAAATCAACTTTTACGAATAAAATAGATAGCATAATAAATATTCCCGACAATTCCCTAACTTATGTCCACAATCTGAATGATTTATAGTTCATTTTTTCTTCGTCAATGATTCATGTCTGGCTTAGCATAAAGTGATTGAGACTGACGCTACGTTATAGAAACAAGCACACACCCGAACCTCCTATATATTCAAGCATTACATATGTCTTTCACTTCATGATCTGTGTTTCACATGTCTCATTAAACATATATAGGAACACAAACAAGATCGACGAACTATGAGTGTTAATGCATACGAACTTCGAAGATAGGATAAGTAGTGATTATGGTGTGTGGAAGGGGAGGGAAGAGAGCTCGAGAAAACTAACATGGAGTGAAAACAGCAGGACGAGGAAGAGGGAGAACAGAGACAATTTGCTAAAACTGATCTTGCTCATTTCTTTGGGGAGAGGGAATGCCGATAATTTTGGAGGGTTCGCTTGATTGAGCACGAAATTTATAGGACTGATGGTAGAGGGAGAGAGATTCCTCTAGGACAAATGAATGAAGCGAAAGAAACAAAACTTATAATGTTAGTTAACTTGCATTTAAACAAATGTTCTCTGCCAAGCGAAAGAAATAAAACTTAATAGTTTTTCTAGTACAACTTGCAATTAATAAGTATTATATCGCGTTTGATTATCAGACAAATCTATAATACCAATCTATCGATGGGGTTCTTTTTTTTAATAATAATGGGGGAGTTCGTGACTCTTTAATAAATTAACTTATCTTTACTAGTCATGATAGTATCTTTATTCCACACACACCGAGTAATTACTGTTCATACACAGGCTTATACTTGCACAAATGCGATGATTTGAACCTAAGGCTCATACACAGGCTTATATTCCACACACACCGAGTGAGGAATATAATTGCGGTTATCAACTTAAGCAATCCCTTGACTCTATTTGTTATATAAAAAAAGGGTCATGATTTCCTCTACTCAGTCTTCTGATTGGTTACTTACATATATGGGTATCACCCATATTTGAATTTAGTTAAGTATACATGTCAATGATGTCTATAACTTATGACCTACTAATCAAAAGCATGATATAAAGGAAAATAAAAAATAAAAAATAAGTTGGTGTCTGGAGACTCTAAGTTCAAAATAAGTTGGGTCCTATTTGGTTCAGCATTCCAAATGGGCTTTGGGACTCTAAAGTCCCTTGGCCATATGCAAATTGTGTTTGGTTCGTTTTTTTGCTTAACTTTGGGGAAATGCAATTGCATTTCTAAAGGCTTTTAGCTCAAGGTAGGTCCGGAGGTCTTTTGGAAAAATAGCATTCTCAGGATGCAAGTCTTGGCACTGTTCATCGACATTGTTCATCTTCCCCACGGTATCCATAGAGGAGTGGGAAGGAGGTCGGCAATTGCCACTTGGGGGGTCGCACGACTGTGGCGACCGCCGCTTGAGGTCATGGGAACCTAGGCAACTGTCGCTTGGGTTGTGCCACCCTAAGCGACACCGCTTGAGGTAGAGTGACCTGAGGCGTCGCACGACTCAAGCGACGCTTGAGGTCGTGTGACCTCAAGCCGCCTCGCCTGAGGATGGGGTTGCGTGACTCAGGCGAACCCCGTCCTTAGGCGACTATTTTGGCCCATTGGCGGTTGAGCTCCACTGGAAATAGTGTGAGACTTTTTTTTAAAAAAAATTAGCAAAAGTCTTTTTCAAAAAGTAGTTTTTACCAAATAGCATTTAAGTCAAAATTAGTTTTCATTACATTTTAAAATTATAATTTACTAAAGACTATTTGTATTTTGGAAAACTCCTCTAATCTAAAGGCATTTGCCCCTAAAGACATTTTTTCAAAACTGGACCAAACGGGCCCTTGGTGAGTGGGGGAATTCCTAAGTTCTGAATAATAGAGAGCGAGAGATTGGATTTTTATCGGATTGTATCATCATGCAGAATCTGTACGACGTTTGAGCACAAAACAAAGGAAGGTGATGGGAAGGCCCACATAATTGATGAAAGCATGGAAGGGAATAGGAAAAAACACTTAAGAATTAGCTAAGGACAAAATCTATTTAAGTAGTAAGTCACATTAATCTACATGATAAAAACGCGATTAAAGAAAAGCATCCATCTATGCCTCAGAAAGGACAGGTCTTAGGTTACGAAAAACAAATGGCTTAATGCAATATGCCAATATCGTAAAGGACAACTCTTCCCTAATAATGTGATTAAACAAGAAAAGAGCATCCATCCATACCTCAGATTGGACGGGCCTCGGTTAATTAATCAATTCGCGCAATAATCAGATAAATTTTCAAGATGGGAAACTGCAATTTCACATGGAGAAGAGATTCTCCACGTAACCTCCGTATCTGTGCATGTAATCACAATAGATAAACTGTGTAACTGGCTAGCTAGTCATGAATTCGGGTTAAAGTCATTGTGACAAGATGCCATCATGAGCAACCTAATTATAATCATTTCTACAAGAGATAAATGAAATCTCCAAGATGTGTGCTTACTTTCCAGGGATTAGGAAAGGAGAGGTCTAATTGGTTCATTTACAAAATGAAACTACATCACAGAATATGTATAGCCCACATTTTCTATCATGTGATGTTCTTTGGTGGAAACAATCAACCATATGATAGGATAAATCTCTCTGTGGTTCTTGGTTCCCATGAAGAACCCTAAGCTGATTTCTCCACAGTCAACAATTTTACTATAACTCTCCATATGAAAAATAGCCTTTCCACCCGATTCACCATGATTTCTCAATCAAAGCCTAAGAACTTTTATCCAAACCCACCAACGGTTATAAAACAATTAGATTTTGTTTGTAAAATCATCTTGACCCAGTGAGCTAGACAAAATAAGAAAACAAATCGCCTATTGCAAGCCTAAAGATTTTTAACTCATAAATTGGAGGTCACTTGTTTGAATTCCAATAACTGCGTGCAAGCTGCTCTAATTGAGATCATCTGCGCAGATTACTCGAATTATTCATGAAACTTGCAGGGTGTTTCATAGGTCTTAAGATAATCAAGCCTCTATGCTCGTGCCTTTGGCTAGTAAAAGAATATAGTAACTTCAACTCCAGGCGTTCTCGATGATCTCTCTTGCATCCCAACGACAGAATACATCGAAATAACTTGGATTTATCGATGCACTAGTGTCAATTTTGCTTCCACTATTCATCCTGATTACATGGGTCGATCTCTATCAAGCCAGAGATATGCTCATCCAAGAAACGAGTACATCGCAAGTGTCCATTCAGCGATGCAGGCCCAAGGGCTGCTCTAATCTTAGCCCACAACAAAGTCTTGGCAGTAACGTGATGCTAGAAAGATCCCGGCCCCGTTTGGTTTAGCTTTCGGCCTAGCATTGGCCAAATGAATGCTGAAAAATGTTTTTCCCTTCCCAAACTTTGGGCTTTCGGCATTCCACAAATGCTGAATTTTTTTTTCCCTTCCCAAACTACCCTCACTCAAACTTTAATATTCTGGTTTTGCCCCATTGTTACTGTTTATCTTCTTCACGAAAGCGTGGCCGGCGAGGGCGGCTGACGACACCGGATCTGGACGGCAAAGGGCCGGCGAGGGGCCAGCGAGGTTGCCCAACCTAGGTGACGGCTGTCTGCGGTCGCGCGATCGCCCAAGCGTCGTTGGCCTGGGTCGTGCGACCCAGGCGACGACGGCCTGAGGTCGCGTGAGTCCAGGAGATGGCACCTGGGTCGCGCGACCTTAGGCCTCGTCGCCTAAGGTCGGGTGATCCCCGGTGACGGCCGCCTGGATCGTGTGACCCTCGCCGGGGGTCACCTGAGGTCTGGCGACGGTCGCCGGCGCCAGATCTGGCTCGCCTGCGGCCATAGCACTTTGCCGGCTCCGGCGAAGGGTAACTTTTTTTTTTTAATAAAAAAGGGTCCCAAAGCCCTTTGCAAAAAAAAAAAAAGTCAAACACTACTTTGGCCAAAGTAGTTTCACAAAGAATTTTTTACCAAACGTCATTTACATTTCCCTAAGGGGCTTTAACCTAAAGGTATTTGCATTTCCCAAAGGTCCTTTCCCAAAGTTGAACCAAACAGGCCCCCGTCCGTTGCTGTAGCAATTTTAAATAATTATATGCCGTTCATCATTCCATATGCAATAAAAATTTTGGAGGAAATTGGTAAAAGGTCAAACTATAGCTATAAACATAGAGATTTCTCAATCATATGACAAATTGCATATCTCTATATAAACAAGAAAATATACAATATGAAAATTTATCGTACTTGAAATATTAAATCCCTTTCGAGTAATCCTCTCATAAATACATGACACTTCAATCGTAGCACTTTATAACTGAATATTGCAAATCATCTACCTTACTCCACATGAAGAAGAAGATCTTCATTATTGTATTAGAAGTGTCATTATTTTATCAGGTAAAATTCGTTTTTACTTTTTTATCACATGAGAACCAATTATATGAAATCTTTAGGATTAAAAAGTATATTCTCATATTATGGGTTCTTATTGAATTTTTTTCCCAATGACAAGCGCTTAAAAAAAGCAAAATAAATGATTAAATAAAATAAAAGCAATAATCTGATGATATTTACATTAATGAGACATATATAAATGATATGCAAAATATATATAACTGAGAAAGTGCAAACAAGAGATAAAATCAGAGAAGTTTAAATGGAAATTCAAAAGAAGAAAAGTGAGAGGTGCCCATTTCAAGATTGAACCAGGCAGCTCTTTCTCTTCAAAAGTAAAGCGTACCAAACTATCAAGTTGGGACTCCCAACCACCATTTTTGCACCTTACTGATCAGGAGTATGGGGTACCTTATCTGTATCTCGATGAACATCACTCACCTTAGTTTCCACCACACGCATTAGAACATCTTACATTAATATCACCCATAATGGGAACGGTTAGACCACCCATCGGCAACGACTCACATCAATCCTAAGTTGTCAGAATACTTCCTCACTCGTGAGTGGTGGACTCATTGGTCCTCGGCCATAGTTCATGAAAGTTTTTGGAGGATTGTGCGCAAATTGAGAGATAGGCGTTAGGAGAATACAAAGACATCATAAAACGCTCGAGATTTACTGACCATGACAACTTTCACACGCCAAACACAGACGCATGGTCGTGTATATCGGATTCGGATGCTATATTAGGTGATAATATAAGGCATATGAGGACTTGGGTTGGAGAGAGCTAGAGACTAAGTTCTCTCTTGACCACTAGGCCGAAACCATATTTATTCGGTGTTGACCTCACTTCGTTCTTTCGTTATCACTTGGCAATTGTCCATACCATGCCGCTCTCAAATGTCCAATGGCAGACCTCGATCTGGCCGGGAGCTGACCCGAGCGCGAGGAACGCCTCATGGGTAGACCGCCAGGTCGATGTGTCCATATGACAGATGGCGACGCCGCGGTTGATCTTTGCCTTGGACTTGGGGTCTAGTATGTCCGCTTCGTAAACGCGGACATTTTGAAACGAATGACAGTAATAGACCATGTAAGGAAATAGATTCTGGTGACACGCCATGATGGACTTGCTCACTTCGGCATCCTCAATCCTATTGATCAGCCCAATTAAAACCTCTTGCTTCGAGCCTCCAGTGCCCTCCGTGGATCGGACCATGATGTCATGACCCAATATCGAGGTGGCGAAGTCAATCATGTCCTCGATAGAGGCCACGCACCTCTTGGTTTTGCCTTGGATCGTTGCAACCTCACACTGGCCTAGTGTGAGCGCCATGATCTTCTCCACAGTGGAATTCTCACCGAAATGGAATATTTGCTTCAGCTCAGCGAGCTTTGATGTTGAGAACGGTAGTTTGGAGGATATGCTGCGGGGCAAAAATGACCTTTTGGGCATGTTGTCCCAAAGATCGGGCATCGACATCACGTTCCCGCTCTTCAGCATTGACTCTCGGAAGTACAGGCCTGGCTCCATGCCCCTATTTACGTTCTTGTCATCAGTTTTCGCCGTAGTATCGACATTAACGCGGTAATACTTTATAAAGGCGTTCACACTATGGGTAGGCTCCTCGTTGCTGTGGTTGGTGACTGTGTCTGTTACTGCGACACCATTGAATGATGAGTTTAGGAAGCAAAGCAGTTCTGCCTCCTCACAGAAAGATAGGAGGTGATCGGAGATGGCGCCTTTAGCGACGAGTTGGGTGAAGATGGCCGCGGATGCGGCGGTCAGGGGTGACGCTTTGAAGAAGAGGACCGGTGGTATGGGGAGGTTGTTGGTGATTTGTTTGTTCCAGTAACTGACAAGGTATGCTTTGGGAGAGATTGAGTTAACCTCGCCGGTGAGGGAGTCGGACTCGGGAGTGGCTCTAGCGACGGTGGTAAGGACCTGTAGCAGGACAATCCAGAAGAGAAAATCAAGGAGTGACTGTTAGCTAGAAGTTTATATAGTCACGATTAGAATGGACATTGTAACGCACATGCAAAAAAGTATAAGTCACGTAACACGAGATTAGAACCACATAATAACATGATTGGAATTATCTTTACAATGAACACAGATGACCCAACAATTTATTCCTAACAATTATTAACGTATGTTATCTGATGCTTGTGTCTAAAAGTGGTAACGTCATGCTCAGTCATTTAAAATGACTGCTGCAACTTACATGCTTTCATACTATCAAAGCTTTACATTTTCACTTGATTATCTACGTTTCATTCACATTTCTTTGTTAGCGTAAAGAACACATAAACATGATCGACCAACTGACATGCGTTAAGATAATCCACACGAGAAATAAATAATATTATGAGGTTAGATTTTGATACAAACTAACATATTTAGTTTCTTGCGTGCGTAAATTATATCAAGTAGTTCTTAGGAAGCCTTGGCTGCCCATTTGGTCCGACAACCTATGCACTGTACTTCTTAGGTAAAAAGTATATACTGATTAAACACTAAGATATCGAAGTAAACAAATAGCCCTGTCTCCGCATGAAAACACAAAGAGAGAGATGAGCAGTTGGATACGCATGGATGATGAGAGCTCGACAAATTACTGACATGGAGAGAAGAGACCAGGAGGAGGAGGAGGAAGAGGGAGGGGAGAGCCATTGTGCTGAAACTGTTGCACATGTATTTGTTCAATCAGGGGGCGGAAATGCTGATGATTGTCGTAGGGTTTGGTCGATTGAGCCAGAAATTTATAGGACCAGAGATTCGTTAAGGACAAAATGGATAAAGCGAAAGGAACAAAAGAACCACTGTGTCTCTAGTTGAACTTGCAAAATATGGTTTTCCTTTTATACGCACGAATAAGTATTTGGCGTTGTGTGTGGGGACTACTCCCGTTGGAATCAACGTTATAGTATTTCGTTCTAAAGGCATGGAGCCATCCACACATTATGCACGTGGATGGATGGCTATAGGAAATAGGAATTAGTGCACTATAAGTCTTAAAATTTATCGTAAAAAGTGCAATTGAGTATTAAAACTTGTTAAACTGGTACAATAAAGTCTCTCCATCAACTCTATTCAATTTGACTAACGGAAAATGCTAATGTCGTTTCTTTTATTATTTTATTAAGACATGTGGCGGTGCTCATCAAGTGCTAAATTAGAAAAAAATTGAAAATTTTAAAAGAAAAATTTTAAAAATTCAAAAAATTCAAAAAAAGGAAAGAAAAGGAACATAGGAGGAAAAAAAAAGAACAATTTTTTTTAAAAATGGTTAATACCACGAAAAACCCCTAACTGGTACATCTGTGACAAATTTACCAAAAACTAATTTTTTGACCATAAAAAATCCCAAGCTGGTACATCTTTTACCCTCTGTTAGTTTCCGTTAAATTTTACCATTAAATTCTGTGTTGGATGACATGTGGTAGTCGTGTACCAGTTTAGGGTTTTACGTTCCATTTGTCACAGGTATATCAGTTTGTGATTTTTCGTTGTATTAATTCAATTTAACGGAGGGTAAATTTGTCGTAAATATATAAGTTTGGGATTTTTGGTGGTCAAAAAATTAATTTAGGGTAAATTTGTCACAGATATACTAGTTTGGGATTTTTCGTGATAAAAAATTAATTTGAGATAAATTTATCACACGTGTACTAATTTAAGGTTTTTTGTGATATTAACCCTTTTGAGAAAAAGGGGCAAGACCTTGCACGAAGACTGACTCCCCTTCTCCTTTACCCTTTTCCTTTCATATGAGGTATTTTTTGGGAACTGCAAAGCTCCTCCTTGATTTTGAAGGATGTGGAGAAGGGGGATTCAGACCAGAAAAAAAGAGGGGATAATGTCGTTGCCCCAGCATAGACATCTACATCTTCCTCCTGAACTTTTGTTTTTCTTTTTTTAAATTTTTTTGCTATTTTCGCGAGCGGTTGGAAGTCTTTCTCAAATTTTCAGTGTTCCCTATCGAAAGTGCGAATTGGAACCGACTGAACTGGATCTATGCAGAGAAGGTTGGACTTAGCCAGCAAATTCGAGAGCACCTCTCCGTCGTCGGCATCTTTGATGAAGGTACAGCTGTGGAGGCCATGGCCAATCCTACCACAGCCATGGCAGAATAATGGGAGTCTTTCATATTTAAAACTAATCCAAGAAATTCTCCGCAGGCGATCTACGAAGGTTGAACCCCTCTCAAAAGAGATTCATTGCCTTTAATCTCAACTTTCGCTCGCCAAGAATCGAAACCATTGTTTCTTTGGGAAACCAGAAGAGGAGATCTTTCTTTTCTTTTTCTTTTTTATTTAAATTTTTTTCTAAAATTTTCATTATTTGATGAGGCGCTTAGTAGGTGTCACGTGTCTTAAGAATGTAATAAAAATAATCATGTCAGCACTTTCCGGCGGTCAAATGAGACGGAGTCAATAGAGGAACTTGATTACACCATTTTGACAAGTTTTAAGACATGATTACACTTTCCAAAAATTTTAGGATTCAAGTGTACTTTCTAGAAATTTTGGTGCACTTATTCTTAGAAAATACTACTCCTCTTGGTTCGATGACGACGGTACAAAGCTTGTGCCTACCTCCTCAGAGAGAGAGAGAGAGAGAGAGAGAGAGAGAGAGAGAGAGAGAGAGAGAGAGAGAGAGATGCCCGGATAGATGGCAATGCTATGGAGGCCAGTACTAGTTGCGACTAGTGTAGCTGTGGATGAAGCTAATGAAGGGTAAATATCTCTATGTTAAGTTTACATGTGCATTCATTTGACATGTGAATGCATGCCACCCATCATGGTATTATTTAATTTAATTTATCTTATTTTTAACAAGAAAATATTAGAAAAAGGATCGATTGAGGTTTATGTCTGCACTAACTTCTAGACATCTATGGTGTCAATTTCACATCAGCATCCCTATTTTTGGTGAGAAGTGCTCCAATTGGCAGATTGAGATCTTTGAAAGTGATGATGATAAATCTAAAGATATTTATGAAATTTGTGGCTCACAATTTAATGGGATAAACATTATGAGACAAGACGTGGGATTGTCATCTTACCCAAGTACATGGGTTGATGTCCATCGAATAATTGAGAAGCTATTGTCACTCTCCTTCACAATAATTCTTTTCTTGCAATAACTAATAAAGATTTTTTTTTGAAAAGAAATTATAGAGTGTGTAGGAAGAGAGAGAGAGAGAGAGAGAGAGAGAGAGAGAGAGAGAGAGAGATGGCTATGCCCGCAAGAAGGATGCCCGGCTTGATGGCGATGCTATAGAGGCCTCTACTAGTGGTGACTGGTGTAATTGTGGGCGAAGCTGATGGAGGGTAAATATTTTTAAGTTGAGTTTATATGTGCATTCATTTGACATGTGAGCACGCCACCTGTCCTGGCATTGTTTTTTTTAACTATTCTTATTGTTAGTTAGAAAATATTAGAAAAGGACCAATTGAAGTTTTACGTGGGCACTAATATCTATGGTGTCAATTTCACATCAGCATCCTTATTTTTGGCGAGTAGTGCTCCAATTGATAGATTGAGGGATAATGACGATAAATCCAATGAATTTTGTGGCTCACAATTTAATAAAATAAGCATTATGGGACAGGAAATGTAGGATTGTCACCTTACACAGGTACATGAGGTTATTGTCCATCAAATAATTGAGAATCTATTGTCGCTCTCCTTCACAATAACTCTTTTCTTGCGGTAACTGATCGGGATTTTTTTTTTCGGAAATATATATCACGGAGGACTTAATTACACCACTTTGGTTAGTTTTAGGATATGATTGCAATTTTCGAAAATTTTATAATTCAATTACACTTTTGTGATAAGTTTTATGACTTTTAATGTACTTATCATAGAAAATACTACTCCTCATGGTTCGATGAATTCTCGGGTATACTGGATCAGTGAATAATATGTTCCACTATGAATAATATGTCGTAGTCTTGGGTATAACGAATCGGTGAATAATATTTTCCTCTATGAATTCTCTTACTGTTGTTTATGTGATATTTTTGTAAGACACGGCCTCCACCCACTATGTAGTCGTGACCAGAATAAAACTATGTTTCTTGGTCGATGGAGGATATATATTACCAATTACATCCATCGCCCAAACTCTAAATGGCCTGGGCTTAACAATGGGCTTTAGCATGGAAGCCGATACGTGTTGTACAGGCCCATACATTTGGCAAGACTTACAACTTTTAGCATAGTTGATACAGTCTTTAGTTATCAATGGCCAGAGGTAATCATGGCGGCACAATAGCCATTTCATCTTTATTCCTGTTTGATGCGCAACGCAACACAGATACCCTAATGGACTTCAGCCATTGCTAACATCGACTCTTCCTTACCCAGGCATCTCAGTAGGTCCTTCGACTGTTCGCCTATATAATTTATCTCCTAGCAAGATATATTTGAGTGCTTTTCATTTAAACTTCTTATCTTGCGACCTAGGATCTCTTAGATAATTGACAAAAGGTGTTCGCCAGTCACCTTCATTATCGATGACATTAATGGGCATTCAACTACGCTGGCTCAACGGTTGCTCTTATATCGCCGACAGCAAGATCTTGGAACATTCATGTGGATGTGAGCCTTTTCCGCTCTCTCTTTGCTCCTCGAAGACCCCACTGTTTGATCATAGCGACGGGCTATCTGAGCCTCGTCTTGGCTAATCTCTACGATGCATGCAAAACACTTTGTCTAAGTACATCGGTTGAAGGCGTAGTTCCGGACGTTACTTTGAGTGGAAATACTAAGATTCGAACCTGAATTGCTGAATCTAAATCAAAGACTTGACCAATGAATTAATCCTCTGAGGAGCGCCAATGACTTAATTTCCGTTGTGCTATTGAACTTCAGTCGTAGATGCTTGTCGAGAAAAAACAGAAGAAAGTAACTTCAGATAGTATATCACTTGATGCATAATGTCGATAGGGACAACTGACTAATAGTAGCTGGGACAAAACAGAAATATCCCTCTTCTTTAGTTATCAAATTCTGTTGATGTTAGACGTGAAAATTTTTGCAAAAATGATTAGAAGTAGCCCTTTGCTTAAAATTCAATAAAATAATTAGCAAATGGTACTTGCAATTCTTGAATCAAGTGAGATCGATCGTGTGCTTCACCCAATGTTCATTAATCTCTTATAATTCCATTTGTTTTGATATCAAGCTGTTGATGGTAGATTTATGAGATGGAAAAATAAATTTAAAAGAGAAGAAAAATCTAACCATGGTATAGTACAGTTTAAGAATTTGAGACATGGAGTCATGTTATGTTCTGAATAGAGAAGAATATTATAGTAAACGAACTTTTTCACGTGCACACCGCAATAATTACAGATACTAGATCAGAGTTATTCAAACACTTGACATTTACTAACCATAACGACATTTACATATATACATGACTATGTTCGTGGATATTACAAAGCAGATACTATATTAGATAATACTTTTAAGCAAATGATGACTTGGGAAAGAGTTAGTAGCTAATTTCTCTCGGTCTCTAGGTCCAACCTATATTATTCAATCTGACCCACATTTCATTTTTTTCATTACTAATTGGCTACTGTCCAGACCGCATAATCCCCATAGACCCAGTGGTAGGCCTCGATCCGACTAGGGCCCGACCCGAGCGCAAGGAATGCCTCGTAATTTGGACTCCACGCCGACGTGTCCATATGACAGAGGGCGACGCCATGGTTGATTTTGGCCTTGGACACAAGATCCAGTATATCCACTTCGTAAACCCGGAGTGTCAGAAACGCATGACAGTAATAGATCATGTAAGGAAATAGAGTCTCGTGGCATGCCATGGGCGGACTTGATTTACTCCCGTCAATCCTTTTCACTTGTCCAATCAAGATCTCACGCTTTGACCCCCCGACGCTCTCCGTGGATTGAAGCTTGATGTCGTGGCCTAGTATTGAGGTGGCGAAGTCGATCATGCCCTCAACAGAGCTAACACATCGCTTGGTCTCACCTTGGATCGGCGCTCTCTCGCACCAGCTGAGGGTGCGTACCATGATCTTCTCTATGTTGGAATCGTCTCTAGCATGGAAGATTTGCTTCAGCTCGGCGAGCTTCAAGGTCGAGAACGGTAATCCAGAGGAAATGCTTCTTGGCAAAAATGACCTTTTGGGCGTTTTGACACGAAGATCCGGCATCCGGATCACATTCCCACTCCTCAGCGTCGATTCCCGAAAGAATTTGCTAGGCTCCGCACCCCTGTTCACGTTCATGCCACCTGCCAGTGTTGTGGCACCTTTTTCGTCTCCTTAGGCAAGTGGATAGGATAATAAGGCTGAGAAGCAGAGCAGTTGTGCTGCCATGCAGAAAGATAGGAGGTGATCGGAGATGGCATCACTACAAAAAAAACAAGGATTTTGCCACGAAATTTAGCGACGGAAAATTTTTCGTTGCTAATTTACGACGAAATTTGCGACGAAAAATAAATCCGTCGCAAATTAGCGACGGAAAGTTTTTGTCGCTAATTTGCAACGGAATTTGCCAAGAAATAAAAATTCGTCGCAAATTAGCAACGGAAAATAAATCCGTCGCAAAAATAGCGATGGAATTTGCGACGGAAAATTAGTCGTCGCAAATTAGCGACGGAATTTGTGACGGAAAATAAATCCGTCGCAAATTGTCCGTCGGAAATGCCGTCGCCAATTTGCGACGGATTTATTTTCCGTCGCTAATTTGTGATGGATTTATTTTCCGTCACAAATTCCGTCGCTAATTTGCGACGGAAAATAAATCCGTCGCAAATTTACGATGGAAAATAAATCCGTCGCAAATTAGCGATGGAAAAATAAATCCGTCGCAAAAATTCGTTTAGCGACGAATTTTGCCAAATTTTTCGTCGCAAAATTCGTCACTAAAACCTTGTTTTTTTTTAGTGTTCTAAAACTAAACCTAAGTTCTTCTAAGTCTAATCACGATGATTACCATGTCTCAATCTCTCGTTATAAGGACGAGGACTACATAAGGAATATACTCCATCACAAGACAAACTAAATATTGCCTAATGAAATCAATCTAATGCAAACTAACAAATTATTTATTGAAATTCAAACTAAATTGGATGATTGTCACAAGTTCAAATTCAAAAGAGATTGGACGATTTGCTACACGTCCAATTCTAAGAGAGATTAGATATTACAAATTCAAATTAGATAAGAAGATCTATTATAAACTCAAGATATTAGATAATCTCTTAAAATGTTCTCGTCCCAAATAAGCTTTTTTAGATTCGATCGGTGCAAATCTTATCTTATTTTTTTTCAAGACTTAGATATAGATAACACAGATATCTATTTAGTTGAATATGGCGGTTTCCTCCGCACGTAGCTCTTATGTATGCATAAATATATGGGTAAATAAATTATAGCAATTTTCAAATAGATCGGAATCGGGTGGATGTATGAAATGTAAAGTCAATGTATCTATATAGGGATATCTATAGGAGATCATATAAAAGAGATATTCTTATTTAAACCTAACCAATTTGATCTAACCAATTAGATGAATTACTCCTAAAGGGTTACATCCGAATGATGAGTGAATAGAGGGCATGCATTCTATTAGAGAAATATTTAGAAGATTCCCTATATTTTCTTTAATTGATTGTAATTGATATTTACCCTTTTAGATAGTCATCCTATAAAATCGATAAATAGGTTCGTGTACTCTTCATTTGACAATTGCTCTTAATTTTTTTATCACATTCTTGACTTGGTATCAGAGCCCTATTGTTATTTGAGAAAGCGTCAATCGAGTTTGTTTGTAACAACGACATCCACATCAGTCATGTTTCTCCACAGTGTTCGTAATGCTAGTCACTTCGGCCCATTTCGCAACAACCTCCCGTAGTTATTTGACATTCCTTTGCTGCTCTAATTGAAAAAAAAAAACATCACCAGACTTGCCGCCCTTAGACGAATTAGATCATGACATTTACTAATTCGTCAAATATGAGTAATATGTCATTGTATGTAAAAGTGTAGAAGCATATCTACTCAAGGTTCCGACGGAATTAGCGACGGATTCGAAAAATTGGTCAGTATAAACATTTCCGTCGCTAATTCCGTTGCAAATTAGTGACGGATTTGAAAAAATGGGCGCCATGTGCCGCGAAGATCACTTCCGTCGCTAATTCCGTCGCAAATTTGCGACGGAAAAATAAATCCGTCGCAAATTTGCGACGGAAAAATAAATCCGTCGCAAATTAGCAACGGATTTTGCGACGGATTGGAAAATGCCCTTTATTTTTGGAATCCGTTGCAAAATCCGTCGCAAATTTGCGACGGAAAAATAAATCCGTTGCAAATTTGCAACGAAAAATAAATCCGTCGCAAATTTGCGATAAAAAATAAATCCGTCACAAATTTGCGACGGATTTTGTGACAGATTTGACCAAAAAAAAGGAAAAATTCCCGCCCATTTGACCAAAAAAAAAAAGAAAAATTCCCTCCCATCCTTTTCCCCCCCTTCTCTCTATTCCTTTTTCTTTTTCTTTTTCTTGTCTTCTTCGCCCATTTGCGATGGAGGATTACGGAGGCCAGAGCCATTACGAGGAAGACAACACGTTCGCCTTCGACGGCGAGGAGGAAATCTACGAAGATCAGCAACTCCTGCAGTACCAGCATCAGCATCAACATCAGCAGCAGCAGCAGCAGCAGACGGAGCGGCGATATGTCGGACCTGAGGTGGACTCGTTCAGCGGCGGCGACGGCGAAGAAACCGACCGGAGGCGTCCGGTGGAACACCGCGACTCTTCTTCGAGGTTAGCTTGTTCGGGTTTCGAGGGCTGTCTGATTCGGATTCTGTGGAGTTTTGTGCTAATTGGGGAATTTCGAAGCTGGGCGCACTTGGGTTTTTATTGAGCTATTACAAGATGACGGGATATTGCCGGACGAAGAATAATTCTGGGTTTCTTTTTTTATTTGGCCCGCTTCTTGCGATAGGAAACTCTTTGTTGGAGGCATTTCATGGGAGACTACTGAAGGTATGTCGAGCGTTTTGCCACTGAATTTGTCATGAATTACTTTGGACGTGAAGCGTGTTCTTGGAAATTCTATTGTTGATTTGGATAAATTGGGGGTTCAAACTGTTTAATGCTAAGTGTCGCGAATCTGTCTAGTGGCATAAGGATCATAATTCGTAACTACTAAACGTTGCTTGCTACTCCGTATCGTTACCTGCCAGCAATCAGTATGTTTTAAGAAGTTCGAATTCTTCTGTCTTAGGGGAATGTCTAGAAGTCCCATGAAGTGGATAATAGGAAGTAACCAAATCATCTTCGGTCCTCATTGTAGATTTCAATTTGTGCTTGCGCACTGTCCTTTCCAGAGTAGTGAAATGTCGATGATTATTCTTGGCTGCCCTGAGAGATCCTTATCTTCCGATGTGTCTCACCAACTTCTCATCACTTGATTTGTGATCTATATAGTTTTGATAATCGGCATAATCCCTGTCTATGTCCTCTTATCCTATAATTAAATTCGACGAGTAATTACACGAATTACTGTCTTTTTTTGATTTGATTTTGATGCTAAGGAGATCTTCTGCTCATCTATTTGGATACTTTCCCGTCTTCTGTTCCTCGCTGAATGCATACCTCTGGCTTCAGCAACGGCGTCACTCCTCAAACATGGCGTGCACACGTCAGTAATAACCTATAATTGCAAGGGCTAGTACTTGTGCACCTAAACATGTTTCAGGATTGAGACGGGGGGTTATAGGTGCATTAGGAGTGGATGCAGCATTGAACAGGATATTTAATCATGAAAAACGTAAACATGTTTTTAGTATTGCCAAGTTGTAATGTTGACCATGCCATCTGTTCAAATATAGATAAGTACCAATACACTGTTCAACCTTGTAGCATTTTGTGTATTTTTTTTTTCAGACAGATTCACTAATTATTTTAGCAAGTATGGAGAAATTGCTGACTCTGTGATTATGACGGACAAGTATTCTGGAAGGCCTCGAGGTTTTGGATTTGTCACATTTGCTGATTCATCAGTTGCTGATAAGGTTTTGGAGGAATGCCACGTCATAGACGGTAGAGAGGTAATATTCTCTGTCCCAGTCAATTTTTCTACTACGCAAAACAACTTCCTTGTCATGTTAGAGCTTTCTTGGATGTTGTATCATGTCAGGTAGAAGTGAAGAGAACGATCCCCCGGGAGGATATGGAAGGAAAATCGGCGTTAAGGACAAAAAAAAATCTTTGTCGGTGGACTCCCAGCATTCCTGAGTGAAGGTGGCATATCCCACATTTGATTTTGTCTCTCTGAGACACGAGAATTTATCAGTTGACACCATGCTTTACTATTGCAGATGAGTTGAAGGAGTACTTCTCTTTCTATGGTGGCATAGTTGAGCATCAGATAATGCTAGACCACACGACTGGACGGTCTAGAGGCTTTGGGTTTGTCACATTTGCTGAAGAAGATGCTGTTGAAAGGATAAATATCAGAAGGCAAAGTGCATGAACTTGGAGGGAAACAGGTGAGTTATAATTCCTAACTGGGAGGAAACTTCCTCCTCCTGTTCATCGGAGATGAGCACCTTCTGACGTGGCTCCGACCATAATGCTTAGGTTGAAATTAAGAAGGCTGAACCAAAAAGGGGAGGTAGTGACTACAGTGGAAGCCAATCCAAATTCAGAGCCAGTTTCAACAACAGTGCGGGTGGTTACGCTAAAGAATATTATCCAGGAGATGGGTTTGGTGGGAAAGTAGGCAGAAATTTCGGCGGGGGTTATGGAGGTTTTGACAGTTATGGAGGCTATGGAAGTTATATTGGAAGCTACGGTGGAAGCTCGGCTGCATTCTATGGTGGATATGGTTATGGCTATGGTTTTGGGGGCCCAATGTATGGTGGCGGCGCTTATGGAGGCAGCAGCAGCTATGGTGCCCCTAGTGGTTATGGCGTGAGTGGTTTTTATGCTGGTAATAGAGGCTATGGAAGAGGCGGTGCCCGCTCGTCGCCTAGCCGCCCAGGCCGTCGCCCGTTGCCGCTCCCCGCTCGCCCGGCCACTTGCCCTGCCGTGGCCGAGGGCTGTGCCGACGATCGTGCCGAGGCCTCGCTCATTGGCCGACTGTTGTGCCGACCGTTGCGCCGAGCCCGTTGGAGCTGCAGTTACTCCATTATTTAATCAATGTTAAATATAAATTCTAGAAATGAATTTTGCTTTTAATTAGATTTAAAATCCAAATCGTCTGTAAACAAT